CACCACAGGAAGTCTTGTTAATCACCACACAGTTAAATTTTTTTTCTTGTGTGATATCTTCATTTTTTTCTTGTAATAATTTTAAAGATCTACTCTCTTAGCAAACTTAGCTATCTTTTTAAAACAAGAAAAATAAGAATATATCAATATTTGCCTGTGTGTACAAAAAGACTGGAAGCATACACATGAAATTAATGAAAGTATTGACAGACCTGTTGACAGAAGTGGGAATAAGACTTCTCACTCGTTTTACTTTTTTCTGCTGTTGATTTTTGGATCATGAAAACATTGCGTATTCAAAAGAAAAAGAACATTTTTAGAAGGTTCTTAAAAATAACAAAAAAGAATTTACCAATACATACTTTGTTTCCCAATAGCTGTAACATTTATATTTTGTAACCATAATTACTATAGTTATATAGGTTTAATTATGTGTTGTAATGGATTAGTGCTCAATGCCATTCTTTTCCCAATAGCCTTTCTCATTAGTTCTTTGAGTCATATCTCAGGCTTATATTTCAAATAAGATTTTTTAAAAAGATCTTATTTATTTGAGAGAGTGCAGAACGAGAGAGAGAAAGAGAGCGAGCATGAGCGGGGAGAGTGGGGGGAGAGAGAGAGAGAGAAGGAGGCTCCTCGCTGAGCAGGGCTCGATTCCAGGACACTGGGATCATGACCTGAGGCGAAGGCAGACATTTAACCGGCTGAGCCACTCAGGTGCCCTTCAGATAGATTTTTCAGGATAAAATCTAATTAATGTATTTCCTTTGCTATATATAGAATTCTTTGTTCACAGCATATCAGTCCCTTTAAGATGGTAGACAGTATTCTGTTGTCTTCAGTTTCTAATGTAAAGTGTCAAAAGTCAGCCTAATTTCTTTTTCCCTGTAGGTGACATGATTTTATTGCCTGGATGCAAAAAGGATTCTTTTCCTTTATACCTCTGAAAATGGCTTTTATGAAGCTATGTCTTGATGTCATGCCACTTGTAATAACTTTTCCTGGTCTGTAATGAATACTTTTTATCTGTATATCTAGGTATTCCTTTGTTTATATTTTGTTAATCCCTATCTCTGAATAATTTGGTTTTAAGTGTTCTTATTTTTGTTCAAGTATTTATTGCATACTTATTATGTACCAGACACTGTACAAATCAGTGGGGATAGAATGATGAGTAAAACAGATACGGTCCCTATCCCTCTGCCCTCACACAGCGTCAGTCAGGCCTAGGGTGGATGTAAGTGTATTTTGTTCATACCACTGATGACTCATCACATTGTTTAAGAATTTGTATCTGTTATTCCAAGCTAAGCTGTGAGCTCCCCAAAATAAGCACTGTGTCTTATATACTATTGGACAACCTGAACATGGGGAGGATCTCAGTTAAATGGGTAAATGGCCTGATTTTGTTGAAATGGCACACCCAGTCCTTAATTTCCTCCTAGATTTTGCTCTCTGCTTACCCACTATGATCTGTTCATACCTTTGTTCTTAATCCTCATCCCTTACTTGTAATTGTATATGTGATATTCTTTGCCCTGTGTAGTACAACATTTCCTAAATTTTTTTCCCAACCAGTGCTCACTTTTCCAACTACTGTATCTTTTATGTCCATGATATATGTCTCTTTTTTCACTACTGTGTGTGTAATTCCAGTGCAGCTGTTTCTAAGAACAAGAAACAATAATATTATTGAAAGGTGATGTTCGATTTTACCCAGATTCTGGGTACTTGCTAATTTTATTCCTGCCATCTAGTGGCCAAGTGAGGATTACAACATGACATAGGTGTGTCTTGGCTTTTCCTGGCTGTGCCAGTGTTTAAAAATGTATTGATGCTACCTGAGTAATCTCTGTATTGTTCCCCTGTCTTGGCTATTTTTAAGGATCTGTGTGTTGGTATGTTGGTATTAAAGTCAGAAGCCATTTCCGCTCTGCCATTTTTGTCCTTAATCATACATTTTTTGCCCTGAAAACACCATACTGATGCTTACACAAACTAATGCTTACATAAACCAATTTAAGATTTTAGTTATACAGTTATAGAGCAGTGTATTTATTGGCACAGTGGTAGTTCCTTGGAAGAAATCTTAGTATATATAAAAGATAATATTATTGACAGTAATGACTGATTAACAAAGATTACTAAATCCCACTAAAGTGTAAGTAGCGTTAACAATATTCCTCGAGATCTTATTCATTCATTCATTCATTCAAAAGCAGCATCAGTTTCTGAAGAGGCATCAGCAGAGCATGTTAACTTATTACAGGAGACGGTAAACCTCAGGCATTTACAATTGGGAAATGGGGTTGCTATCATAGTCATTTTTTTCATCAATTTGGGAGCCAGAGAATCTTCTCTTCTGCAAATTTATTCTGCCTTTTCCTTAAGTAACTGTAGTTTACATTTTTCTTTTCAATGTTTTGTAATCACAGTTAATGCCTGCTATCACTTGAAAATAAGTAAACTACTGAACCACATGGACTTATTTTTTTCTTTAAAGACTATACATCAGAATATTTTCAAAAAAGTATCTGTTTTCTATAAAATAGCACCTGCGTGCTCTCTCTCTCACAAAATAAATAATATCTTTAAAATTCTAATTTCCTATCTTTTTCTTCATTCCTTTAGATATAAAGATCAGCTAAAACATTTTGAAATTGCTTTAAAATTTGGCTCCATTGAAGCTATAGACAGAATGACTTATATGATGCCATTATTCCACTTTTTATCCCTTAAGGATGTCTGTTATGTAGTAGCTTTGTAGCTTTGTTTTGTCCTCAGAGGAACTGACTGACTGGGCCAAGAATAAATTCAATTCTTAGTGATAGAGAGTAAATCAAATCAGTTTGTGTCTGTGCTGAAAATGACTTGTATTTGGTCCACAGTTAATTTTGATTTATTTATAAGTCCCTTTGAGTAAATAAAAGTGTTCATTCATGATGGAAAAGATTCTGTAGAATAAAGGGAAAGGGGACTCAGGAAAGTGATTGTAAATCAGAATATCATTGTAAATCAGAATATCATCTTTTACTTCATTGAGACCTTTCGTGAGGTCTGCAAAGTCAAAACTGCTTTTGTAATAATACAATTTGTCTGTTGCGCTCTCATTCACAAGTCGAATTTTCCAGAGATTACACGATATGTAATGATGTCACCACTCTGACAGCTGATAGAATGTGTGCTCTATATTCTTGTGTTTTAAAAATTTCTGAGTTTTAATTTATAATACAGTAAATAGCAATAGATATAACCCACATTGTAAAAGCTCAGTGATTTTTAAGAGTTGGAACGAGTCCTGAGAACAAAAAGTTTGTGCCACTTTTCTGTGGCATAGTTAAATCAAATTTGTAGGCTTGCTCCTTATCATTTCCTGTGTATTGTATGTTTTTTGCCTGTTTTGTGTGTTTTTGGTATTTTTTAGGAACCATAAACTATTCTCTTTATGCTCTCTCAGGGAATAGAATGTGAGTTTTAGTTGTGGGTGGCAATTCAGGAGGTTGGCTCTAAATAGTTCTTGCATAAAGAAAGCTAGATATAGAGGACAGAACTTTCTTCTAACAGTACTGGCCACAATGACTGTCTTGTGATATGATGTGCTCTCATCACTGGAGGGCCTCAAGCATAGATTAGACAACTATTATCGAGAATATTTTAAAGCAAATTAATAGTGTTCAGGTAGGTAACTGTACTAAAAGGGATCTAATAATGTAAAGCCCCTGGGGCGCCTGGGTGGCTCAGTTGTTGAACGTCTGCCTTCCGCTCAGGTCATGATCCCAGGGTCCTGGGATCGAGCCCCGCATTGGGCTCCCTGCTCAGCGGGAAGCCTGCTTCTCTCTCTCCCTCTCCCCCTGCCTGTGTTCCCTCTCTCACTGTCTCCCTCTGACAAAAAAAAAATAATAATAATGTAAAGCCCCTTTACAAGACACTTAAAATCCTACAGTTTCAGGTCTGAAACCGCTTAGGCTGCCTATGAATTCTAACACTAACAAATAGAGTGGAATTCTTGTTAGTTGGTACTGCTCAGTTAAATTTTTTCCTGTTAAGTTTTTTGAAAAATTAAATTACAAAAATGGACCTTTCAATTTGTTAATTCTATTTACTTTATTTCTCTCATATAAAATGTGGCATATTTAATCATCTTGCTTACTTTCTTTTTTATGTGTTTTATTTCAGTTGGTCGCATTATGTTTCAGCTCTTCTCAGACATATGTCCAAAAACATGCAAAAACTTCCTTTGCCTATGCTCAGGTAAATGAGTTATTAAATTATTTCCAATGAGAAGTCATGGCTTATAGTTTTATCTTGCTTAACAGTTAGATGTTTTCTGTAAAAAGTGACTGGCTGTAAAACGAGTTTAGCACATTAAAAAATACTATTTTCACCGATAGGAAATCAGGGAAGCATTTCTTAAAGGGTAGAAAGGACAAAGAAATGGTCTCAAAAGTAAAAAAAGAAAGTACTACTGTGTGTAATAAAGTCATCTCTAAACATTGTACTTCATAAATTCTAAATTTCATTGTTTTAAACAAATTTAGCATTCCAGATTCACAAGAAATTTAGGATTAGAAGATAGACAAAACACAATGTGGTTGTTCTTTTTTATCTTTAATTGGATTTATATTTTTTAAAAGTAGAAAAAAATAAGAAAAACATCTATAATGTTATTTTAAAGTAAGATACAGTTAAATACATGGACAATCTTTGAACCAATTCCTTGATTGTCCTCTTTTACTGGAGTGATAACCATTTCTAATCCTTCTTTTCTCCTGTTGCATGTAGAGTCTATGCCACACAATTTAACATTTATATGCTGCTTGATACTTATTTTAGTTTGTGTGTTGCCTCATTGCCCTATGTTTTGTATCTCTTACAGTGCCAACACACAGGAGGGACTTCACAAAGGACTAATTGGATGGTTCTTTCCATGGAAAGATGTTTGTAGCTAAATTTCACTTCTTTTTTTTTTTTTTTTTCAGGAGAGAAAGGCCTTGGGAAAACAACTGGGAAGAAGTTATGTTACAAAGGTTCTACATTCCATCGTGTGGTTAAAAACTTCATGATTCAGGGTGGGGACTTCAGCGAAGGTAGAGCTAAAAGTTGCACTTTTAAAAACTCCATCAGTCAGTTTCTTGAGCTATCTCATTATACCATTATAAATATTATGTCACAGTATGATATAAATATTAAATGGTCAGTGAGTAGATGTGTAGAGTAAGAATGTATTTTGTTTTTATGTACTTTTAATAATAATATAAATAGTCGGTGAATTCCCTTACAATGAATGCCAAGTACTTTTGGATTATTTTTATTCTTCTGAATTTTGTTGGTGTGATTACTTTTTGAAATAAATGGGTTATGGAGATAATTTTTAATAGTATTTATTATAAATAGGAATGGGCTTTTTTTGGACTTTTATTTTCAAGATGAGGTTAATTGAAGATCTGTAGAATTTTGATTATAACAATTACAAGGTGTTAGCTTCTTTAGCAAATTGAAAGCATAAAAAGTAATTTATATGTATTAATATATTTTAATTTTCATTATAATTTAATGTAACTCATTATTTGCAGGTAATGGAAAAGGCGGAGAATCAATTTATGGTGGATATTTTAAAGGTAAGGCTTAATATTTTATGGTCCTTTGTTTCAGTTCTGATATTAAAGCAAATTTGATCATGTACTTTTTAATGAGGAGAGGTTTACTTATAGTTCACTTTTTGCATGAAACTAATGCTGCATGAGAATACTTTATTTGCATGAACTTGGGGATAAAATATATTGTAATATGTAACTTTTAATTGACAAGATTAATTAAGGCTAACTTTATGGTTAAACATGACTTTCAGCATGGAGGTTAGGCAACTATATACATGAAAACTCCTATCTTCCTGCCTAAAACTGTCAACATATTCTTTTGTTTATAGAGAATGTGGTCTTTTGCAAAATGAAAAGGTAAGAGAACGAAGCTCAGTAACACAAACTCCAATTCTGTTCCCTTGCACCCTTCCTAATAAATTTATGGACAGCCTGGGTTAGGTTGTGGCTGGATTTCTTAATATTGCTTGAAGAATTGGAAAATTCTGTATACTATTTCATACATGCATCTCTATCTCTTTTCTTTTCCCAATGGGTTATTCTACATCAGGGAAAAAAATCTAGTTATGTTTTTTTCCCCCTAAACCAAGCAATTTCTTTGAATAAAAGTTGGTATTTCCTACTTCCTCAGAGGTTTGTATGTTTTCTTTTGTATACTAGAACTATATGATTGTGTTTTATTCCTACAGTAGTAGCATTTGCATAAGTCTCTAACTATTGCACTTGCCCCAAAAAGCCTTAGAAAAGTCAGTTGCAGAGATTTATAATGGGATCCAATCTTACTAGATTTAAATGCCATGATAGCTTCAGTGTTATAATAGTCTTTTATATTTCTTTTGGGGGAAAATGGATTACTACTCTTTTTCAGAAGCCTGTTCCCAAGGTAATCATTTTTTAAAGTTTTCTATGTTTCTGTTTGTTCTAAAGAAAGATTTGTTTGTATGAATGTTACAAGGAAATTTAAATTAGTTTTGAAGGTATTTGCTGGAATTAAAATAATCTCTGAGTGATCTTCATAACAGTTTTTCCTTTGAACCAGTAGGAAGCAGATCATTAGCTGGTTCTATCATCTTGTAGCAATTTGAAACTAATGTTGTAGGCCACTTTAATGTGGTTGTTCCTGTGGCAGATACTTGTGTATCTTAAAATTATATTTTGCCCTTTAAGTTTTTGTTTTTATGGGACTTGCCTCCTTAGATAATTTTTGATCCTATCTATTAGGAGTCTATATACATTAATTTATGTACATCCTTACAACTAAAATTGTAACTTTGTTTTTTGCTCTCATAGTCTAGCTTCAATACAGTTGAATAATAAGTTTACCATATAGAAATTAAGCACGTAAGATTATTAAACTTCTCCCATATATAGTGCATTAAGCAAGATAATTGGAAAGTTGAAGAAAGTGAGCTTTACTGTAGAGATTTTTCTAAAATCTCTTTACTGGTTTTCCCTTAAAGTTAATACGTAGTTTACATATCATTTAGCCAAAGTATGTTACTACTAAAAGTGACTATTCTAAGGCTGTTTGTATAAAGCATTAAATATATGTTCTTTTCCCCAAGGCTTTAAGTAGTATTTTTGATCTTTTTATGCTTTTGTTATTTGATTAGTTAAAAAAATTTTTTTCTAAATATTCAGACAAGTATCTATACTGACCAGAAGAGGAATTTCATCCTTTGCTTTCTAGTTATTACTGTGAACATTACACTTTAAAAGTGGCTTATAATTGGAGACTGACGAATTTGTGTTTTCTTCAAACAGATGAAAACTTTATTCTCAAACATGACAGAGCGTTCCTTTTGTCAATGGCAAATCGAGGGAAACATACCAATGGTTCCCAGTTTTTCATGTGAGTAGGCATAATTCAGAGATGAGCTTTTCTTAAACAGAGAAGCGCTGTTCATGAGAAAGATGGTATAGTTAAACCAAGTTTAAATGCTAGAATTCTGCCAAATTGGACTTTGTTACTAATTTCTAACGTTACAGAACCTGGTAGGCTCTAACAACCGCCTCAGCGTTCAGCATATATCCTCCTTTTGAAGAATGGTACTTAAAAGATGTAACTTGAAGATGTACATTATTTTCAAAGTATGTTGTCGTCTTAGGAAAGGAAATTGGCTTTGACTTAACAAATTTGGGGGCTCAGTTTACCAAAACTAGATTGGAATATAAACTATTGATCAGCATTTAAAAATTGTTCGTAGACTAGGACTAATGTGCCCTTGGCCTGGAGAACAGTTGTTTTGAGTAAACTGTTGTGTGGTTGCTTTTTCTCTTATTGTTGCTCTTTGAGCTAATTTGAGAGAGGTACCATTATTTTCTGATACTGTACAGAGATGAGTGACTTTGCTATTGCATCAGCATTGTAAAAACTTAAATCTCTTGAGATCTCTATGCATAATTGAGTTAAACCAATATTGCTGTCATTTCCACCAAAATTTATGAGATTAGCACTCAGGAAACTTCAGAATGCTAAAATTTGCTTTTTAAAAAAAACAAACACCTTTTCATGTATGTACAGGCACAACCAAAACCTTACTTGGTTTAGTTATATTTTTAGTTATATTCTTATCTAAAGCTACTCTAAAACCTATTTATATTATAATCCCAGGATTTAAAATAGGAAAGATAATTAGCTAGCATGAAGTTTAATGCTTTTGATTAGAAGTAAATCTCTACAGTTGTACTATATATGTTGGAGAAATGTTTTATTCATGGTTTGCCAGAAAAAGTTCTTGTCATCTTTCTGAATGGACGAGTATGAATGGCGCTTCCCTGTCTTTAAAGGAGTAAATTATTCATGTAAAATAAATCTCACATTTTAAATTTGTCTGCAAAATAGATTTCCAACATGATCTGATAAAGTTCAGATAAGGGGCATTCTGTTCCTAAGAATGTCCTAAAAATGGAAAGCTGATGGAAGATGACAGTGCTTGGAGCTGTGCAGGAAAAAAGGAAGACCAAAATTTGTTCCTAGATTGTGTTGTGATCCCATAGAGCAGTAGTTATTAATACTTCTCTACTAGGGTATTTTTCTTTCTTTAACCTTCTTAAGGGCCAAAAAAAAATAGTGGGAAATATTTTGAAAAACTTCCTTTATAGTAATTTAATATAAAGCTATTTACTCTTTGATTGAGGTTTCCCATTTCCATTTTTAAGCTTATCTGAACTGTGAACATGATAAACTAATGAAATTCATTGGTCAAGAAGCTACCATCTGAGGGCTCTAAAGTTTCTTTTAGATTTCCTTTTTTTATATCAGTACATTAAAATTTATCAGGTAGCAGCAGCTTCTTCCCATTGTTACATACCATTTAGCTTGTTTAATCAAACGTGAAGAGTAAAAACTGGTGTGCAGGTACATACATTAATTAACATCCAGTATATGACAAAGTTGTCCCTTCAAAAAATTTATTTTGTTTCTGTGTTATTTAGTACTTGCTTAAGTCTTTTGTAGGAATGCTTAGTATCAAAATTACGGCCATTGCTGTTTCTACATAGTTTAATTTTACACTGGACTGCTATTTTTGGCAAGGAATGCCAAATGAAAATTGTAACATCCGTGAATTAGGATTAAAAGTTTTAAGCTTGTTTTCATAATTAACTGTAGAATGGCACTAAAATCACTCTGAACTTACGTTGAAAGAAAATTTTCTACTTTTAGTTGAAATTTGCTTCTGGAAATGAGTTTGCAGTTAAAAGTAGTCTTGGAAGTATTTTAGTGTTTTTGTACATGCAAAAAAAAATTGTCTTTTTTTTAAAGAAATTTTTGTGGCATGTGCTTTTTTGTGCTGGCTGAAAGTACCGGTTCCCCACGGTTGAAGGATAAAATAAAACTAACATTCACCTTTCTAAACAAAACACTTCCTTTCTGTTATAGAAAGGGGAAATGGAGATGATGGCCCATAAAAAGAAAAATCTTTGAAAATCTCTGTCTTGCAAGCCCAAATCCTTTTGGAGTTGGAAGTAGTGCAAAAGTATAATGTACTATCTTCAAGTTGTGTCTGTGATCCCAGCTAAACTCTCAAAGCTGAGGCTGGCTGCGAGTGCGGGCCGTGGCGGAGCCCTCTGTGGGCCGCCCCAGGGTGGTGAGGGTGGTGAGGGTGGTGAGGGTGGTACTGAGCTTCTCCCTCTCACCACAGCTCTTCCTGGGGGCGCCTCAAACAGCTCTTCTGCGTTCCAGACAGGAAAGGGTAGTGTGAAAATGGGTGGGAAAATGCCAAGAACTGCCTTGATAGGTCCAGTTTTATAGGCTTAACAAGGACTTTTACTACATCCTTCCACAATTATATTTGTAGTTCATATTCTAAATCTACTACTTTGTCATTCCCAGGGAGTAAATTTGGTGCTATTACTGTATTTGCAAAATATTCCTCAGGGACTCTTGTGCTTTGTGCAGTAACTGTTGTCTTCATTACTGAAGAATTTAAAACCTCCCCTTCCTAAGGCATACATAATTTTTATTAAACATAATTGTGCACATATTGCTTTCTTTGGATGTAACAATCATGTAAAAACCAGATTTTCTTCTATAAAGCCATTCATGATTTTTGCAGTAACTGCTTATATCTCCTGCTGTATCAGTCATAATGATTTTGCTTTGGGGGGCCTACTATTTCTTTTTGAAATAGTACTGCTCAAGAAACATGGAGGAAGTGATACTGTCCCCATGATTCACTGAGGAAATAATGGTTTGTTCATGTTGAAATATTTTTGAAGGAATTCAAAGACCTGGAACCAAAATAGTAACCAAGTTAACTCAGTATTTAGTCTTTTTGTTCTTTTTATTATTTATTTGTTGAAGCCAAACACTAGGAAGAAACCATAATAAAAGCTATAGAATTATAAAGTCTTAGAGTGGAAAAGGATTTCAAGATCATCTCATCCAACCTTTTCCTTGTATAAATAATGCAAAGATAAAATGACACACGGAAACATTTTTCATTTCCTTTGGCTTCCAGTAATAACAGTCTGTTAATTCTCTAATTTTCATTGTTTTTCTATACATTCATCAACAAGATAAAGAAGGTATTATATGAAGTAGTCATTAAAAAGATTAGGTGGTTTATAGCTTTGTATTAAATAACTATCTCTTCGGTTAGAGCTACTATTCTAGCTATCAGGAGACCTTGGTTCTAGTTTTATTTGCTATTTACCTTGAGTTAGTTTGTCTTTCCTTTTTGGCTTATGAAGTACCTGTCCCATTCTCAAAGATAAATGTGGCATGAAATTTTGGGCATAAAAGGAAGAAAGTGTTTTGTAGGTTGATCCTTGATTTCTGAATATGTGGAATGATTTGTGTGCAAACATTGTCTTGCCTAAAGGAAAGTAGTTGTAATTGCCTAATTTACATCAGTCTGAAAGGTGCTGCAAAGAAGCTTCAGGCTCATTTGCCTAAATTAGGCAGCAGTCTTCATCAGCTGCGAACAGAACGTTGACGTGGTGGTACACTTGTCTCCCTTCGCTTGGTTTGTGCCACTTTATGTACAGCCATGGAGTAGAAAGACCTGCAGAGCTTTGGAGAACAGTCTCTGTCATTGGCCACTGTCAGTGGTCATGATAATTATAAAAATTTAAGAAAACAAGATAATGTGGAAAAGTCAAACTTCAAACAAAAAGTGTTAACACGTATAAATAGGACTGTGGGAGGAAAATATAAAGTAGTTCCAGGATATGTCCTAACCAGACTTAGAAATGGCTGCTCACCTGAGTGGGAGAGAAGTGCCGATCGTTTCAGAGCAGAGCAAGGGGAGGTGAAGACCGGTTTGGTGTTAAGGGGTTTATAAAGCTATGCTGCAATTTGGGGTAGCAAAAGTAAATTTGGGCAGAAATGGTTTTCCCTCCACATATTCATGAATCTGTATGAGAAGAAATGCTAGTAAGTGTCAATAATCTGGGAGGTTCTAGTTTTTCCTTCCTTTTTGGGGGTAGTATCTTTATGTGTACATTGCAAGATTTTTCATCAGCAAAGATGTTGGTGAAACTTAACCATAAACCAAGTTCTCTGAGTATCAAGTGTCATCTGTAACATCCAGTCTTAATATCACTTAGTGTTTATGTGACATATGTATTAGCATGGAAGGAATTTTGTATCTAGTGGTGTTTGATGTATATTATGTTAACATTAGTGCTGAATTTTTGAAAGCTCTCTATTTGGTGACTTTTGGAACACATAGGGAGAGCTCTGTAACATGGCTTGGGTAGTTTCCATGGCCCTTACACAAGCTGTGTCTCTCACTATCATTTGGTGCCTCTTCCATGATGGTGTGGTAGTTTCAGGAGTTGAAGGAAAAAATTGCATGTTCAAGGCTGCATTAGACAGAAAGAGGTTATCTTTATGTTCATACTACTTTACACCTGGAGTCACTTTTTTTTTTTACAACATTCATTGAATACACCACATTATTTGAAACATCATATTCTTTTTGACAGTAATTCATGTATCAATGCCTTTATAAGAAATTAAAGCTTGTTTTTAAATATTTCAAGATTTAATAGTCTGAAACCTTTATAAAGAATTTTGTCCACTATATATAATATGGATTTTGGTCTGAGTATATAGATATGTTTAATAGATTTAAAGTTGGTTAGACTGTATTTTTTGAAAAAAATTTTTTACAATGGGGAAAATCAGAGATTAGGCAGGAAAAGCAAGTATCTTGGCCAAAATTTGATAGCATACTTTTATACTTTTCATCTCTTGCCTTTTTATCCTTTGAGAAGATCCTAAAAATTCTAGTCATGCTGCTTTATTGTTTTTTTATTATTATTATTATTATTATTATTATTATTATTATTATTATTATTATTTTCGGGGGCTTAACAACTATAGAAGTGTCGAACAGAAACTATGGTCCAAATTTTGCTCACTTATTCCTAATAGTGGTCTGTTGGGTGTGATGAAAAAAAGATTTCAAATGTAGACACATGAAAGATTTTTAACTACCTGAAGTGAATTACTAAAGAAAGAAGAGAAAGTTCCCTTAAATTTTGTTTTGAATTCTCTTAACTCAGTCCTTTTCATTGACATTTTTGCTTTCCACTGGTAGTAACTGCTCCAAGGCATTCAGATTTTTATATTCATGTATGTACTCAGGATACATTACTCTTTTTTTGAGAAAGATGTTGGTTGACTTAGCTAGTTTGTAGGATTTGCAAAGCGAAATACACTGGTTACTCGCACTCTAGTGTTAACAATATTAAGGCTCTGAGCAGATTCCCACCTTCACCACAGTGTTTTTCTTAAGCATAGTTCGTCTCTACATACATATCCTATGTGAAAGAAAATTTAGAGCCCTCCATTTTAAAAAAGCTTTCTTGCTTTGCATAAAACTTGAAAATATTTAATTTCAAAGTTATATTGATATTAAAACATAGATTCAGTCTTGTCTTAAAAGTGTATTACAATTTATTTCTTGCCATTTTTGTGTAAAATTTACAGAAAGAGTGTTACACCGTGCGCTCCAAAGGTAATGTCTCATTACTCTAAGGCTCTCTTTTTCTTTCTTTGCCTTTATCTCTTTAATCCTATTGTTATGTGCATTGAACCATTTTAAGAAAAACTTTCTGCTTGATTTATGGCAGCAATACATGTAAAACAAGTGTGTTTTATTGTTCGTGGTTAATCCTGGGAAGTACATTTCCCACCATGTTTCCACACCTCTTCTGGGGGAGGGCAGGGAAGAGGGTGTATTGTATATAATGGTTTAGATTTCATTTCAGTGCAGAACTGTTAATTTCTGTATAAGGCTAAAAGCTTCTTTGATAATGGTATAATAATGTAGATTGTTTTTTGGAGTAACAGTGACACTTTTCAATGTCTAGGATTTACGAAGTTTAAATGAATCCTTATGCATATATTTTTAAAGTACATTCAGGGGGTGGAGGAAACTGGAAAATCAGTGTCTAAGTGACAGGAGAAAATGGAAATGTGAAAATATTGAAAGCCTTTATAATTTGAAATGTTCTTTGTGGTTCTTTCTCCTTTAGGTATGTTTTCATAAGCATGTATAAACTTAAATATTTATGGTAGTCTCTGGCCGTGAGGTCTGAATTTATTGAGTGTCACCACTGCATGGGTCTTTACCACTGTGTAGTTTTGAAAGATCAGTACAGTTAAGAGTTGGTGGGATGAGATCTCTTTGTCTGGTTGAGTAGGATTGAATAGTTTGGACCAAGTATATCATTTCTGCCTGCCCGTTTGGCAGTGTCCTCTGTTTATCCATGTCTGGTGTCAGCCTAGTGCCAGTATGCCTGCTTTACACTGTTATTTTTACTCCTGGAATGTAGACTGAGAACCCCGAGGGGCTTCTTTGTTAAGGTACTTTCAGTATTCTTAATATGTAGTCTAACCCGATTTAAGTATACATTTGTATTTCTGCCTCCTGAATTGAGGATGCAAGTGATGGACTTAATTATTCACACCAGTTTAGGCACAGCAGGCCAGCTGAAATTTGCCCCTGCAATAATTGTACTTATCTTCATTTGTTTTCTTCACTGTTGCAGTGAAAGACCAAGTTTTTTTGTCTTCAGTTGTCACTTGAATTCAGAACAAAACTGGAATCTGTCATAAACGTAGTGATTCCATCCTCCAGTTGAGTCTCAAGGGGTATGTTGCTATCTCACTGCAGTTAGCTAGAGTGTTCTCATCTCTCACCATTTGCTCCAGAGTTTTGCCATCAGGTGGTTTTTACAGGACTCCTATTAGCCAGTGTGGCAAACTGAATTGGGTTCTGTGTGTTTTAGAAAAATCTGTAGGCTTTTCCCCAAAAGATGTGAGAGTTGTGAGAGAAAGGATCAACGAAGGAGGAGGAATATACCTAATCAATAAACCACTCCTTGTTTTCACTGCTACGTATTTGAAATCAATCCCTTAACATTGTAGGACATTTTTATCTTTACAAATTTTACCTCTTACATCTTTCATACAATGGAATCATTGTCTAGCATATGTACTCATATCTTCCTATCATAAGCCTGCTTTGGTAAAGTTTTATATATATGGGAAGCACATTTCCGTCTTAAAGTTATTATCCAAAGTAGTTTCCGGATGCTAGTTTAATTATTTAAGCATTAGTTCCTCACCTGCTTGCCAGATTTTCTGTCTTTTTTTCTTCTGTTTTTACTCATTTTTACTATTATATTGGCTTGAATTACAACTTCTCAGTCTTCTAAGGAGAATTTGAGACTTTGTGGTTTTAAAACTCAGGATTGCTTTAAATTCTGGAACTTCTTAAATTGACAATTTTTATTAAAATTAAATTCTGTAGTGCTTTTACAGAACTGAATATTCTTAATGTAAGTATAAATGCTACCATTCCTTGTAGAATAATGATTTTTAACATTGTTGTGAAGGTTAAAATTGTGTTTTGTTGAATCACGTATCTTAGAATTGCCTTAAAATGAATATAAAAATTGATATGGGAGCTCCTAGCACAGTTGACTGCTTTAAGCATGATCTGATAGCCAGTGTTCTTTCTCAAATTCTTCTGTTTCTCATTCTTACAAACTAAGATTTTGGTGGTACATCCTTCTGAGTCTAGTTATCTGCTTTTGAATTTTCACTGCAATTCACATATTGTGAAGATTTGTGACAATGCTAAGGGAAACAACCAGTTTGGGTTCGAAATGTCTTAACCAAATATACCCCATAGGCTTCCCAAGAGTGACTATCGGCCAGATCGTGACTGTAGAAGCAGGTTGGGCATTTTCTGGGCCATAGAAATGTAAAGTGTCTGTAGTGTTATCCATCATTACTTACCATGTCAGAAGTGTTGACAAAGGGAAGGTTTGCTCCCTATTGCATTTTTAGGGTTGCTGTGAGCGGCAGAGCTTCACCTTAGGTGGGAGGGGCAGGAAGTTCTGAAAACAGGACTCCTAAGGCCTACCTCCATCTGCCTGCCTAAAAGATGCAGACTGACTCAGTATGAGAAATAACAAATAGAAGAACTCATTTAAGTGTAGGGGCCAAGTATTGATCATACTTTTCTTTCCTTAGGGCAAATGATAGTACTTTTTATTCTCTTTAATTATCTTGATAAATTTTGAGTTTGTTTTTGCTTTTGTTGTTTTGGATTCGAGAATAACTTTAATTTTAAGGTATTTTTATGCTATTTCAAAGTTGTTTCATACATATGTATAAGGATAGTCTTCATATTGCAGAAATAAATACAACTTTGTAATTTGTTCTAATCTTGAGTGATTTTTTTTTTAACCAGTAAAATGGCTACTATTGCTGTTTGTAAGGTTTTTAAGTTTAGATGTATAGCACATTTAACTTTTTCCCTATCTTTTTATCTTTACCTCTTTGTTCTCTACATGCTGTGCTTTAAAACCCTTCTGCTCTGTTCACCTGAACACCTGGTTTTTGCCATCTTTGTGTTGATGTTTCTTACACAGTACCACAAAACCTGCTCCACACCTGGATGGGTAAGAGTGACATTTTATTACCTTGGGGAGTTGTTTGGGTGGCCAGTCCAATACAGGTTGGATTATGGGTGAACCTCAAGGGGGTGCTCTTGATCTCTGGGTTAATCTCTCAAAGCCAGGCCCCTCCTTAAGGATCACAGGTTAGTCCGTCTTGAGACCTCATAGCTGTCATGTCATTGAATGGGGTCTTTATCTGGGCCTATGGATAGACCTCCCAGTCGTGCTCTCTTGAGTGACTCTGTAACAATAGTTTCTGAGTATTAAGGGCAGTCTGACTGTTCTGACTCTACCATAAAAAAGAAATAGTTTTAGACAGAAAACTAAGACTCAATTTGAGTAATTGTTGTTGTATGTTCCTTTTATGAAGCAGATTTCAAGTTCTAATTCCCTTCTAGTTGTTTCATTCATCAGACACTTTGCTTTTCTATTGAGGTCTGTAGACATGTCATTTGTAACAGTTGTGATTACTGCTTATGGCTTAATTGGGATCAAACCAGTTCCTTCTCGAATTTGTATTGTGACAGGGTTCATGTCGTCTTTGGATTAGTTATTTCTGGTTTTGAAGTTATCGAACAGATTGAAAATCTGAAAACGGATGCTGCAAGTAGACCTTATGCAGATGTGCGAGTTATTGATTGTGGGGTGCTTGCCACAAAATCAACAAAAGATGGTAAGGGTTTTTGGGGAGTGGAGGGAGCTAGGATATAGGTAAAACATGTTGAAGACTATAACTTAAACATACTTACTGGATTTTAGTAGTGGAGGAAACTATACAAGTTGTATGGCAATAGCCCCGGTGCTTCTTACCATACTTTCTATCCAAGTCATGTAGAAATCTTATCAAATCTCCCTTCTTTATACTTCCCCCTGCTATCAGCCTTGTCCAGACCTGGACGATTACAGTAGCCTCATACCTGTCCTGTTTACCTCTGTCCTTCTCTATAATCTTTTCTCAGCATAAATTCCCGATTGGTCTCCTTGCTTGTACTCTTGATCCTCTAATCTGTCCTTAACAGCAACCAGAGTGATCTTCTCCAAGGGCTCCCTTAGTCAGCCAAAGCTAAAGTCTTTACTTGGTCCCTAAGGCAGTCTGCTCTGCGGTTTCTCTCACCTCTTCCCCCTCATTTATTGTCCTCCCAGCCACGTTGACACACGCCAAGCACTCAGGGACCTTTGTGCTGGCTGTCCCCACTGTCTGCAGCACTCTCCATCCAAGTATCTGCATGACCCCTTACCTCACTTCCTTCAGGTCTCTGTTCAAATGTAATTTTCAGTTACCCCCTGACTTTCTCTATTCCCTTTACCCTGCTTTTTTTGTGTTTCTGTCCTAGCACTTAACTATTTGTCATATTATGCAGTTACTTATTTTCTTGCCTGATCCAACTAGAATATAGGCCTCATGAGGCAAGGGCTTTGTTACCTTACAGTCTCAGCAGCACATTGTATTATCAACATGAAGAAAAGTTTATTTAAATTCTGTCTTTAGTTTTCTGTTGATAAAGCATGTTTTATGATACTAGGTAGTCACATGTTTTACTCTCAACGGTAGGCACTGAAATCCAGTATTAATATTCTTGTTAATATTTCTTAAAAGTTTTTGAGAAAAAAAGGAAGAAACCAACTCATTCAGAAGACTCGGATTCCTCTTCCAATTCCTCTTCCTCTTCAGAATCTTCTTCAGAAAGTGAAATTGAACATGAGAGAAGCAGAAGAAGGAAACGTAGGAGGCGGCCAAAAGTTAAACATTCTAAAAAGAGACGAAAGGAAGCAAGCAGTTCAGAAGAGCCAAGGAATAAACATATAATGAGCCCAAAAGGGTAAGCGTGAAACACCAGGGGAATCTTAAGCTAAAAAAAAAAACACATACACCCTGATGGGGAAAGCATGTGCAGTTGTGTAAACTTAGCTTTATAACCTATTGTTGAAAAAGGATAATATTTTTTGGACTTTAATTTGAAATTTGACTATTCTAGGGGTAGCACAGACATTTCATAGCAAAGATTTACGTGTTTGCAGGTGAAAAAAAAAAATCCTTGAAACTTAAAAAAGTTTTAGGATCATTTGACAATTTTCATAGCAGAATTTAGTACTGTGGTATTTAGTACTGTGGTCATGCTTTATATGTTCTTTAATATTATCTGAAATGCAAACATTTTACATTTTAATTGGTGGCATGCTTTGTTCTCTCTAAGTCACTCAGAGAGGAGTGATACCAATGAAAAAAGGTCAGTTGATTCAAATGCTAAAAGAGAAAAGCCTGTGGTCCGCCCAGAGGAGATTCCTCCAGTTCCTGAGAACCGATTTTTACTGAGAAGAGATATGCCTCTTGTCACCGTGGAACCTGAACCGTAAGTAGGGTGATTAACCCCCGTGTTTTCATTTCTGTGAATGATAATTCCATCAGTTCCTTGCGGTTCCACACTCATTTATTGAGCATGACCTATAGTCAAAGCGCTTTGAACAGTACTGTGGGAGATGCCAGGTTAATGAATGACACATACCCTACCTTTCAGAATTCACATTCTACTAGTAGGGAAAGGGGGTTGGGCACATAGGCCAGGGGAGAAGTTCTTAACTGGAGCTCTGGAAAGATTTCATTACTAATTTTTTTTTCTTGGCTTTTCATTAGAGGTGAGATTTGGTCGCCACAACAGAGGGTCAGTTGAACTGTTTGGATTCAATGGAATGACAAAATGTGTTCCAATTTGAATAGTGTAAAATTAACTGCATGGTGATTGGGGTATAATTTAGCACCATAAATATGTGACTCTTGCTAATAACTTGCTCAGTGATAAGTTCTCTGCATTGGGAAAGATAATGTGTGGCTTTAGATTTGGCCTCAAAAAATACTATGTAGTATATTTTGTGTTACCTCAAGTTTAGATCTATTAAATGTTGTTTGAACAAAAATACCATAATGTGGTGAATCATTGATAAGTTCCTTATGAAGAGTTCTGTTGAAGGCTGAGAAATGATGCACATGCCCTGTTTACAGTCAGGTTTCTACATAAGGTGGGCCTTATTTAGTTCATTAAACATTTTTAAAGCCTAGTATTGTCTCATTTTAAAAAAGCTGTTATAAAATGGGATGTATCTTTGAATTAAAAGTTTAACATGTTGATGTTTTCATTGCAAATTCTGGCTTGTTAAATTTTAGTGGGACTCTTCTTTATTAAAATATAAGACACCAAGTTCATTGATCAAATCTATTTGGCTTTCGGGCGCCTGGGTGGCTCAGTTGGTTAAGCGACTGCCTTCAGCTCAGGTCATGATCCTGGAGTCCCTGGATCGAGTCCCACATCGGGCTCCCTGCTCAACGGGGGGTCTGCTTCTCCCTCTGATCCTCTCCCCTCTCGTGTTCTCTCTCTCTCTCACCCTCTCTCTCTCAAATAATAAATAAATAAATAAAATCTTTTTAAAAAAAAAATCTATTTGGCTTTTAAAAGGCAGGAAACTTGAAAGGTCAGTTTCTCTGTCATATGACAGGTGTTGTCCGTGGGCCAAATTTGGTCTATTGCCTATTTTTATATAGCCTGTGAAGTTAAAAAAAATGGGTTTTGCATGATAAAATGTTGTAGAAAAAATAAAAAGAGTAGTATTTTGTGACGTGTGGAAATGAAATGAAACTCGAATTTCAGTGTGCATAAAGTTTTACTGGAACACAGCTGCATCCACTCGTTCACTGTAAGAAGATACAGAAGGGCTGTCCTTGCTACAGCAGCCTACTTGCGTCGTCGTGGCGGTTTGTATGGGCTGCTCTGTTGCTTCACACGGCTGCTTGGTGCACGCGGCATCGCAGCGATGCCCTTGAGCTCTCCAGGATTTCAGGCACCGCACATACCACCCCTGTATGCGAGAAGGTATTTTTAAAGATAAAATATGTACAAGCTCATTACAGATCAGCATTACCGGATGAACAGCATTATCTATTTTGATAGGAAATACTGTGAATCCTAATTAAGTGAAATGTTTTTATTTTTTATTTATTTATTTTTTTATTTGACAGAGACAACAGCAAGAGAGGGAACACAAGCAGGGGGAGTGGGAGAGGGAGAAGCAGGCTTATTCTCCCCTCCAAAAGAACTCTGTTCCTCTCGTTAGTAGATCTTTATTACAAAGAAATGATACTCAGTTGTCATGTTTCAAATTTTACTGATAAAACATTAGTGAAAATTTGTTTTCTTTCTTGTTATCTGAATACCTGAATAATAGCCTTAATTTTCTTCTTGGCTTACAAATCCTAAAATACTTACTCTCGGATCCTTTTCAGAAAAAGTTTGCTGACCTCTCTTATCTGGTGGTGTTAAAGCAGTGATTTCATTTGTGACTGAAAAGTGCTGATAATTTTGTTTGGTCATCACTCTTCTTTGGTCACATAACATCTTTGGAAGTTATTTTCTGCAGAATTACTTTAAATTATAATTGGCTGGTAGTTGTGTCGTACAAAGATAGCACAATTGATCTATTTTATCAGGATCTTTGAGATTTTGATCAGTTGTTTGGGAGCTATAATTGTGCTTCAGGAACTCAACATATGCAAGGATAAGAAGCAGGGGCTCTTAGCCATAGTGAACCTGCCACCTTATTGATTTATCAGCAGTTAAACTCATATCATTAGTAATTTGCTTAGCGGAATTTGGGTACTACACTTGGCTCTAGCTTATTTGTTCTCAACCTTAGTGGTACTTTAGAATAATTTGCAGGCTTTTGAAAATACCAGCTTCTGGGCCATACAGCAAATCAAATCAGAATGTTCTGGGGAGAAGGTGGAGGATAGTAGCATTGCACCAGTACCTAAAAGGTTCCCAGGTAAACGTTAATTTTTGCTGAACACGTGTAGGCAAGTTCAGTCCTTTTTATTCATGAGGAAAATGGGGTTAACAGTTGTCTACCAAGAGTACCTACTTTCTCACTGTGAGAATTAAGTAATGTCATGAAATTACTGAAAAAAACTGTACGTATACTTTGTAGTTAAGATTTTTCTATAGAAGAATTTATTTTTTTTGTATGTTTACCTGGACCCCGATTTCCTGGAGCTTAGAAAACCCTGTGAAGTTGCATTTCTTTCTGTGACTTAGGGCAAGATTTGTAACCTCTTAATCTTAAAATTCCCTATCTTTAAAATGAAGATGCTAATAGTACCTACCTCATAGTGTTGTTATGAGAGTTCAGTGAGCTAATGCCTTTAAAGTGCTTGTTAACAACCAGCAGTGAACAATCTGAAAAGGAAATTAAGAAAGCAATTATATTTAAAACAACATCTAAAAGAATAAAATACTTAGGAATACATTTAAAGAGGTAAAAGCCTTGTACAATGAAAATTACAAAATATTTACACATAAATAAATGGAAAGACCTTGCATGTTCATGGGTTGGAAGACTTAATATTGATAAGATGTCAGTACTATTCAAAACAAGCTTTGGATTCAGTGCAGTCCCTATCAAATTTCAGCAGCCTTTTTGCAGAAATGGAAAAGTAATATCAAATCATACGGAATTGTAGGGGGCCCCTAATAGCCAAAACAGTCTTGAAAAAGAAGAACAAAGTTGGAGCACTCACACCTTCTGATTTCAAAACTTAACACATAGCTACAGTCATCAAAATAGTGTGGTACTGGCATAAAGATATATAGACCAGTGGGATAGAATTGAGAGTCCAGAAATAAACCTGTAGCAGTATGTATGGCCAATTGATTTTAGAAAAGGATGCAAAGTCCATTCAGTGGAGAAAGAAGTCTGTCTCTTCAATAAATGTTTGTGCTGGGACAACTGGATTTCCACATGCAACAGAGTAACGTTGGACCCCTACCTCACATCATACACAAAAATTAAATTGGGTCCATGACCTAAATATAAGAACTAAAACTATAAAACTCTTAGAAAACATAGGAGTAAATTTTTATGACCTTGGGTTTGGCAATGAATTCTTACATTTGACACCAAAAGCATTGACAACAATAACAAAAAAACAACTCAATTTAAAAATAGACACAGCATTTGAATAGACGTTTCATACAGATGGTCGGCAAGCACATGAAAAGATGCTTAACATCATTAGTCATTAGGGAAATATAAATCAAACCCACAGTGAGATAATACTCACCTACCAGGATGGCTGTAATTTAAAACAAAACCCCAAAAAACTAGTGTCAGCAAGGGTATGGAGAAATTGGAATCCTTATACATTGGTGGCAGGAGTCTGAAATGATTCAGGCATTGGGGAAAATAGTTGGGTTGTTCCTCAAAAAGTTAAGCATAGATTTACCATGTAACCAGGCAATTCCATGGGGAGGTATATATTCAAAAGAATTGAAAATAGAAAATGAAACAATATTTGTATGTCAGTGCTCATTGCAACATATTCACAGTAGCAAAAGGAAGAGACAGATCCCAAGTTACCAACACATGGTTGGATAACCAAATGTGATGTGTACATACATCATGGAATGTTATTTGGCCATAAATTAGAGGTTACCAGAGGCTGAGGGAATTTGGGGGGATGGAGAGGTATTCCTTAATGGGTGGAGTTTGGGTTTGGGGTAATGAAAAAGTTTTAGAAAGATAGTAGTGATGGTTGCACAACATCAGTGTAATTAAGACACTGAACTGTACACTTAAAATTGGCTAAAATGGCCAGCTTTACATTACATACATTTGACTCAGTTATGTTAAAAATGCTTATTAACATAATGTCTGACACATAGTAAGTACTCAATAAGAGCCAGCCATCATGTTAGTAACAGGTAAAAAACTTGAGGTATGAAGACTTCTCATGCATGGAGGACTAGCTGCCACAAACTCTGTACTCTTAGAATTACCATAAGGCAGTAGATTCAGAGCATTGAAGGAGGGGCAGCTTATTGTAGAGTGGGGAAGACAAATGAGTTATTAAAAATATAAAATAAGATAACAAAATATAGTTTTAAAAACAGTTTAAGCATCAGAGTCAGAAATACCTTAGGATTCCCTTAGAACATCACTGTTTTTGATAAGAGGCAGGTAAAAAGGGATTTTGTTTAAAAGTAGTACTATGCTTAAAAAGATGCATAGTATCATACATACATTTCTACCCAATTGAGTTACCCCCCCCTTTTTTTTTTTTAAAGGTTTGGCATTTAAAGAGTTTGCCTAGAAAATCAGGTTATGTGGAGTGCCTTATTCTGCAAAAGTGTTGGATCTAAATGAAATGACTTTGTATTATAGGAGCATAAATTCTGCATTTAAATATTGAGAAAACTGCCCAGCATTTGCTTATTTTTAATTTTCAGTCTTCTTTTCCAGGAAGATTCCTGATGTTACACCTGTTGTAAGTGATCAAAAACCATCTGTATCAAAATCTGGACGGAAGATTAAAGGAAGGGGCACAATTGTATGTGTGTTAAGACTTTTCTTTTTTTCAAATTACTTATCTAAGTAAGCAGTATAGGCAAAATCCTAGCTTTAATTTTAGGTACAATCCAAGATCTATCTGTTCAAGGAGCTAGTTGTATTCTCCATAGGTATATGAAGATACTGCTATTAGATCAAAATTTATTGCTGCATTTTAAGTATGAAATGACATGTGAAACAGTGAATGAGTATGTTGAGAAATCTTAGTATGTTGAATAATCTAGGCTAATTAATGTAATCATTAGGACTTTAGGAAAAAATCCCATTTCTTTTGGTGTCTTATATTGTCATGACATAACTTCGTATCATCCTTTTGTGCTTTAATCATTATTGCTTTTGAACAGCATCTGAGATTGGGTTTTATACCTAACTCTGTCCTATAGCAGACTGTAATTGAGCAGTATTTTAAAAACAGTTATTCCTATCTTTGTTTTTTGAAGCGCTATCACACTCCTCCAAGATCAAGATCATGTTCTGAATCAGACGATGATGATAGCAGTGAAACTCCTCCTCACTGGAAAGAAGAAATGCAGAGATTAAGAGCATACAGACCACCTAGTGGAGAAAAATGGAGTAAAGGAGATAAGTAAGAGCTTTGAGTATGAGCACAATCCTGTGTCTACTATATTTTGAGTGTTAAGAGGCTAGAGACTTACTTCTGGATTTTTCATTAAAGACTTAACATTTAAAGTTCGACCGTGACCAAAGAGAATGCATTTGGGAATACTTGGCAAAAAGAGAGCTGGTAGGAGGGCTGGTAAGTAGGAGGGCTGATTGGCTTCAGGGTGCTTTTAAATCAGAATTCTATCTTCCCTCACAAAACTATAAACCTACTGAATCTCTCAAAGATATCTTGTACAATTTTAGAAATAATCAGGACCTAAAAATCATATAGCAGATTCTTTCCTAGCCAGGTCTCTTAGTCACTGATGAATGAATTGGTAGGTAGGAAAATCTGTACCTGGCATGTGCATTAACTTCTGACCCCACGGACTGTTGCTTCTTCAGAAGTGTACCCTTCTCTTACCCTCTGTAACACCCCACAGCAGAATATCTCTTGTAGAAATGGGGCTGGCTTCAGAATAGCTAGTGAAAAATAACACCAGTGGGACCCCTCTATAATTGTTCATGGTAGTAGTCTCTTCTCCTCTGTGGGTGTCCAGGAGAATGGTTAGAAGTCGGAAGAGGGAACGCGTCTGCTATGTGAGAGTGATTTAGACACAGTGGTATAGAGAACTCTCTATTTTGAGCCCTGACATTACCCATTACCACTAAGATTGTAAAGCCTGCATCTATTTTCATGTGCTTTTTCCTCAATTTCTGTAGGAAGTGATTTAACTAAAACCTTAAGAGAAAGTCTTAATTACCTCTGTGAAGCTGAAATAAAATAATAGTCATGCTAGCTTTTTAAGAGACTTCCTCTTTAAAGTTCAGGCAGCTGTCCTGTATCTGCGGGGAATCAACAGAATTGTTTGGGAACTTGATTTGACTCTCCATCAAAAATTGTTCCCGGAGCCAGAGGGTCATGAACATCCTAGCCAAGGAACTCAGTATATCAGCAGTGCTCTTGGTTTGGTTTGGTTCAAAACCGTTTTTCTGTCAAATTTGAAATCTTCTGCTTAGTTCAAAAATCCTTTTATTAGTGAATCTGTTAGTAGTTGTCAGTGTGTATCTCTGAAATTATGAGGTCAAGATGAGGCCTGTCACCCCTTGATGTATCCTTCCTATTTGTGCTTAAAGTGTTGATGGAGTCATTACTTTGTTCTTAACTAGGCTTTTGTCAATGCTTTTGTATTGACAACAAATGTGTTTTAAACTTAAAGCCTAGAAAACATGCTTGTAAATAACTGCATGTATACTGTATTCTTTTCAATAGATTAAGTGACCCCTGTTCAAGCCGATGGGATGAGAGAAGCTTGTCCCAGAGATCCAGATCGTGGTCCTATAATGGATATTATTCAGACCTTAGTACAGCAAGACACTCCGATGGTCACCATAAAAAACGCAGGAAAGAGAAAAAGGTTAAACATAAAAAGAAAGCTAAAAAGCAGAAGCGTTGCAGAAGACACAAGCAGACCAAGAAGAGAAGGATTATTGTACCATCAGACATAGAATCCTCAAAATCTTCCACCCGAAGAATGAAATCCTCTTGTGACAGAGAAAGGAGATCTCGTTCTTCCTCGTTATCATCTCATCACTCATCAAAGAGGGACTGGTCTAAATCTGATAAGGGTGACCAGAGTTCTTCAACCCATTCCAGCAGAGACTCCTACAGATCTAAATCTCACTCGCAGTCTTATTCCAGAGGAAGCTCAAGATCAAGGACTCCATCAAAATCCTCATCACATTCTCGAAGTAGATCAAAGTCCAGATCTACTTCCAAGTCAGGGCACCAAAGGACAGCATCAAAATCACCAAGACGAACAACCTCTCAGTTAAGTGAAAATAAGCCAGTTAAAACGGAACCTTTAAGAGCAACAGTGCCACAAAATGAAAACGTCGTAGTACAACCAGTGGTAGCAGAAAATATTCCTGTAATACCACTGAGTGACAGTCCCCCTCCTTCAAGGTGGAAGCCGGGACAGAAGCCCTGGAAGCCCTCTTATGAGCGAATTCAGGAAATGAAAGCTAAAACAACCCATTTGCTGCCCCTCCAAAGCACTTACAGTTTAGCAAATATCAAAGACACTGGAAGTTCATCATCCTACCATAAAAGAGAAAAAAATTCAGAAAGTGATCGGAGTGCTTATTCAAAATACAGTGATAGAAGTTCGGAAAGTTCACCAAGGTCAAGGAGCAGATCTTCTAGGAGTAGATCTTATTCCAGATCATACACAAGGTCACGAAGTCTAGCTAGTTCACATTCAAGATCTAGGTCTGCCTCATCTAGATCTCATTCACGAAATAAATACAGTGATCGTTCACAGTGTAGTAGATCATCGTCATACTCCTCCGTTAGCAGTGATGATGGAAGACGAGCCAAGAGAAAATTTAGATCCAATGGGAAAAAAAGTAACACTTCAAATAAGAGGCACAGCAGCAGCTCTGAGAAGAGACTTCGCAATAAATATGTGAAAAGCAGAGACAAGTCTTCGAGTCAGAGGAAGTATAGCGAAAGCAGGTCATCTTTAGATTATTCTTCGGACAGTGAACAGTCAAGTGTTCAGGTTACACAGTCAGCCCAGGAAAAAGAGAGGCAAGTCCAGATGGAAATGAACAATAAGCAAGAGAAAAACAGAGATGAAGAGAAATCCAAGCCTGAACAGGAATGCCCTCGTTCAAAGAAAAGGGCCTTGAAAGAGAATCTTTCTGATCACCTTAGAAATGGCAATAAGCCCAAAAGGAAGAATTATGCTGGGAGTAAATGGGACTCTGAGTCAAACTCTGAACGAGATGTAACTAGAAACAATAAAAATATTTCCCGGCCATCTTCTGATAAGGAGGAAGGTGAAGCTACGTCAGATTCTGAGTCAGAATTTGGTGAAATTCACAGCAAAGCCAAACCCCCAACAAAGTCTTCGGCAAGTACTTCGTTGCCTGATGGTAATGGTGCTTGGAAATCAAGTAAGCAGCGGTCTTCAACCTCTGATTCCGAGGGGTCCTATTCCAATTCAGAAAACACTAGAAGAAAGGCACGGAAGCACAAATACGGGTCAAAGGAAAATCTTAGACGGGAACAGACCAAAAAAGCAAAGGAGAAACTGAAAGGGAAAAAAGACAAAAAGCACAAGGCTCCAAAACGAAAACAGGCATTTCACTGGCAGCCTCCACTAGAATTTGGTGAGGAGGAGGAGGAGGAGACTAGTGAGAAACAAGTTACTCAAGAGGCAAAAGAGAAAAAACAAGTTTCTGAAAATAGTGAGACCATGAAAGAAAACATTTCGCACACCGAGAGGTCTTGCGAAGAGGGCCGCCTTTCAGGTAAATGTAATCTCATCATGACTTCATCAGATACTGGGCAGCCTACTAAAGAGGATAGTAAACTGGGCACTTCTCCCACAGCTTTCAGTTCTGACGAACAGGGAGCCGCTTCTCCCTCCAGCATTCAGCATATTGCAGAAAGGGCCCCAAGCGGAGTGGAGGATGTGCTGCAGACAGATGACAACATGGAGATTTGCACTCCTGATAGGAGTTCCCCAGCCAAGGAGGCATCCCCTCTAGGAAATTCAAGTCTTGCCACCCCAGACGTAAACGTTGTTCTACAACAGGATATGCACGCAGAGCATCCTGAGACAGAGGAGGGAAAACAGGAAAGCAAAATGATGGGGGACGTGGGGAAGCGGGACAGCAGCCCTGCTAGCCTGGCCAGCGCCACAGAAAGCACTGTGAAGAGAGAGGCGGCTGAGAAGAGCCAGATGGGCCTCCTGGATAACAAATGGAAGCCCCTGCAAGGGGTGGGGAACCTGGCAGCACCGACGGCCCCCACGGCCAGCGCCACGGAGGTGAAGGCACTGACTGCTGCTCCTGAGATGAAGCCACAAGGCTTGAGGATAGAAATTAAAAGCAAAAATAAAGTTCGGCCTGGGTCTCTCTTTGATGAAGTAAGAAAGACGGCACGCTTAAACCGGAGGCCAAGGAATCAGGAGAGTTCAAGTGATGAGCAGACCCCTAGTCGGGATGGGGATAGCCAGTCCCGGAGTCCAAGCAGATCTCGTAGTAAATCTGAAACCAAATCAAGACACAGAACACGGTCTGTCTCCTACAGTCACTCAAGAAGTCGATCGCGAAGTTCCACATCATCTTATCGGTGAGCAATGTAGTCTCTTTCCTCTCCCCCCCCCCCCCCCCCCCCCGCCCAAAGGAGAGTCTGTTACTGTTTATCTTGGAAGAACACCAGAATTAGAGACGAGATCACTATTTCCAAATATCTGGAAGGGAATAAGGGGAAGTCTCATGCTGTGTGACTAAGAGCCAATTGTGAGGACATAGGAAGTGGGGATTTTAGGCGAAGAAATGTGGGCTCAATGTCGACAACTATTGCTTGTCAGTTAAAGCTCTCTGGCGGTAGAAATGAGTTGCCATGATAGGTGGCAAGTCTCTCTCTCTAACCGTGTGATGCTGCTCTCCCACCTCTCAGTGATGCCTTAGAAGGAAATCCTGAATTTACAGAATTATGTAGGATTTAGAGATCATTAATCTAACTCTCCATTTTACACAAGTGGAAGGTGGGGGCCAGAGAGGCCAAGTTAACCTGCCCAAGACCTGCATCTAGTTGATCTTTATTCAAGGGTTAGCAGGGAGGGGCATGGTAAAAATTTATTTATTTTGGTTCAGGTTGCATCTAACTTTTGTCATCAGCATAGACTGGATTGTGCAGAGAATGAGAATTTTTACAAAATCAGTGATGGTGATATGAAGTTAATAAGTAATTTGTATTCCTTTTTTTTCCTTGTAAATATTTCATGGTTTTACCTCACTATCTCTTAATTGCTCATATCCCTTAGTATATTGTGCTTGCTTTTCATCACTTGAGCCTAATAATATAGTAAAAATCTTTGGGATTTTCCCCCCCTTTCTAGCTATTTATCTTCCCTTTCTCGCCTGGATTTCTTTAAAGATAGGAGACAACATTTGCCATCTGTAATAACTGTTTCCCATTTACTCTTTAGTTGCTTGCAGTCTGTCTTCTGCGCCTTCCCTCCCCCACATCTTCCTAAAAGGGCTATTTTCAGGTATTTCCTTCGCATGAGTGCCAGGGCATGTTTTCAGTCCTTTTGGCCCTCCTGGAACCTGCTAGCTAGCTCTCTTTGTCCCTCTCAGACCATTCCATGCTTATGTTGCGGGCTCTTTTTCCTCCTCCTGCCCTGAATCCCAGCAGGCCCAGAGAGCTGGTGAATCCTGGCCTTTTCTCTCTAGGTTCATATTCCTAGATGCAGGCACAATTGAGCTACTTTAGCCCCCCTGTTTGCTTAACGTCTGCCTTCCATTCATGCTCTGACAGTTCTGAGCTGCTGGTGATGCTGGCCACTCTCATTTAGCTTCCTACGGCTGCCTTTGGGGTGGGTGGCATTTCATGTGATAAATGAAGACAGGGTTAGAAAGCCTAAGGAATTTGCTTTAAGTTATGCAGCTAATGGGTAGTAGACCAGACAGCTAACCTTGCCTCCCTGTTTTGGTTACTCACCTGGCCGTGACTCCCCTACTAGGCTGTGAACTCACTGAAGTCTGGGACCATTTTCTACTCATCTTTCTGTTACCTCACAGAATCTGCTCTATAATTGTTTGTCGAGTAAATGACTAGAATCTTACTAGAACATAATGTGTTCATTCTCTTGTAGATAAACTGGAAGCAGAACATGTCTTCTAAAACATAAGTACATAGTAAATAAAATAAAACCTTTGAAGATGTTACATAAGTAGCCTAGACATAGGGATATCGTTCTGTCCTAAATGACAGGTAGAAAATTGGGGGAGAAGAGTGGGGAGCCAAGTGAATGCAGAGGGGCAGAATTGTACTACTTAAGTTCCTTGTTTTATTAAATACTAAATAGATTTAAAAAAATGATTAGGTATAAATAAATAATTTAAAATGTCATGTAGATTTTAAAAAATAAGCTTTGACATACCTGATACATCCCTACTACTCAATGCCACCCTACTTTCTCTCTTCTCTCCTAGAATTAAACATTATTATAAACTTTTTTTGTAGTTTTGTTGTTGTTGTTGTTTAAAGATTTTATTTATTTATTTGACAGAGCTAGAGCAGGAACACAAGCAGGGGGAGTAGGAGAGGGAGAAGCAGGCTTCCCGCTGAGCAGGGAGCCTGATGTGGGGCTCGATCCCAGGACCCTGGGATCATGACCTGAGCCGAAGGCAGACGCTTAACGACTGAGCCACGCAGGCACCCCTTTGTTGTTGTTCTTTAGTTTTGCCACAGATATTTCTGTTTGTATACAGTGTTTTTGCATGTCTTCAAACAAAATCTTTACAGATGTGCATACCTACATACATGTTCTATCTATGCATTTTTCACTCAACACTATGTTCTAAGAGATGTCTCTATTGATGTATGTAGCTGTACTTCATTTTCCTACTTGAGAGTATTTTACTGAATTTCTCTGCCCCCTGCCCCCCCCCGCCCCATTCTATCATTAGTGGAGCTTTGGATTATTTCTTCTTCTGGTCTTACAAGTAGGACTCCAGTGAATACACCTTTACCAGCCTTTTCTGGCTTATTTCATTCTGTTCAATTTAAACCTTCATTAGCTGTCACTGTCAAACCTGCTATGAAGAGTTTGTGAACGACCTTTCCTTGTTGTGTTCTCCCCTTCCTGTCCCACTAGTAATCATTTGAACAGCATGGTGAGTTAACAATTATATTTTTTCACTCTCAATTGTAGATCAAGAAGCTATTCTAGAAGTCGGAGCAGAGGATGGTACAGCAGAGGCCGCACAAGAAGCCGGAGCAGTTCCTACCGCAGTTACAAAAGTCATAGGTGCGTGTGGGATCCCCACCCTGCCACGTGGTCTTCATCCTGTCTGCTTTTCAAGGCCTGCACAGGCGGAGTGGGGGAGCTTTTGAGAAGAATCCTGTCATTGCTGAATACCAGCAGTCAGTGCCTTCACCTCAGTCTAGTTGTTTCTTTCTAGGAACTGTCAGATTCTCACTGGCTATCCTCAGGATGTGATCTTATCAGAGTGAGGAAAGAGAAGCAGTAGAAATCCTTTAAAAAGGCCCTGCCCACTATCTCCCCACCCCCGACCTCCAGTATATCTTCCTTGACCTCAGTTCACATCTGCAGTCACCTCTTGGCTTGGGTTAGGGATTGGGATAGGAGGACTGATTGGTTAGTAGGGGGCCACGGGATGGAGCATGTGGGGGGGTGACCCCAGGTTTGTATTTCTCCCAGCTTCATCAAACCCTCTTTTGCCTCTGAGGTATTTTCCACTGCTGCAGCTTCATCCTACCTGCAGATATCTGACCTGTGCAGACTTCCCCTCCCCACCCAGTTAGAACCTCGCCAGTGACTTTGCTATGTGCACCTCATAGAAGAACAAAAGTTAATCAGAATGAAATCCAACATGCTTTTAAAAAATCCAACATATTTTTGATAAAGAAATGAAATAAATACACCTACTGGATTTCATTGTGTTTTTTCCTTGATGGGCAAATAAAAGTCTAGATTTTTGATATAACCTGTCCTGAGCCACAAAATGATGGTCCCTCATGTGATTCCTATTAGGACATCCAGCAGGAGCAGATCCAGGAGCAGCTCGTACGACCCCCATAGTCGGTCCAGGTACGGACAGGGGGTGGGAACCACCTGTGGGGGCAGAATTGAAAGGCCTTGTTTTAAAAACCCTTCATTCCCTTTTAAAAAGTGTTGTAGGCTATTGAAAAATTTAAACACATGTATTTGTCTCATGAAATCATCTCCCATCTACGTGAGGTTTTTTTGACAGCTTTTATCTGTTGGCCCATTGTACTCTGGTGTCAGAGTGACAATTGATGTCCAGTTGTAATGGCAGGTATTTATTGAATATAATTGCCGAAGATCCACCAGATTCAGTCAGACTAAGTCAGTGCTAACTTTGTGATATTTTTCAATGCAGAAAAGAAATGAACATTTTTCTGTTTCATGCGGTAAGTCTCACTGGGGCACTTGTTAAACGTCTCCAGTACTTGCTGTGCACATGTGTCCTCACACAGTCATAGAGAGCCCATGTCCTCAGAGAACACTGAAGAGACCGTAAGAAGAAACGGAAGCCTGTGAGTGTTGGAGTGGGGATTAAGTGTGTGTGGTTGCCGTTGGAGCAGGTCCTGCACTTACGATAGCTACTACAGCACGAGTCGGAGTCGCAGCAGAAGCCAGAGGAGCGACAGTTACCGCCGAGGCAGAAGGTACAGCAGGCGATCCAGGTGCGTCTCCCCCCTTCAGGTCACTGCAAGATACTGTGGGCACTTGGCGTGGGAGGTGACACACGGCTCATAGAAGAGAAAGTGTAATCTTCTGAGGTCAGAAATATTTCTTCCTCTTGAGTTTCAGCAACCCACAGGCATCTCCTAGAGGTGGCTTTTGTATTAGGGGTTGCTGGGTCAGGTTTGTTGGTTATTGTTCATGTTTGAATCTAAAATGGATTCCGTAATATTTACATACCCTTGGAGAAAGAGTTTCTTTGGAAGGAGTAAAGAGAGAAGGCCACCCAGACCAAGCCCCACTCCTTTAAATAGGGCTACTTGCTAAAAATAGCAAAACCAATTTATTAGTTTTTTAAATTAAAAAAAAAAAAGTATACTAAAATGTCATCATTTGCTTTAACAGCAGGGTTGAGGTTTATATCATCAGTTTTAGTAAAAATACATTTTTATGTATTACAGATATTTATAGATATTACATTTTTATATAACCTATTTGGGCTGGTACTGCCAAAGTCTTAATGGCGACTTTTTGTAATGTCCCTTTCCTGGTCGCTTTTGGTCTTACCCTTCCCCATCTGTTGCAGCTACAGTCAGTGATCCTTGTCTAATATCAGTGTGATCTAGACACCTCCCTTGTTTGAAACTCTTGAAGGGTTTCCTACTGCCCAGAGGGGCAGGTCCAGCCTCTTTAGCATCCCGTGTAAGGCCTCTCCGCCTACCAACTCCAACTGGGGCTTTTCTCTCTTCCCTCCTTTAATGTGCTAGAACCTGTCCTTCTGCTTGGAGATATACACACCTCTTGAAATGGCCAATTCCCACCTACCTACCCTATAGGTCTCAGCTGCAACCCGCTGCCCCAGGGGGCCATCCTGACTGATAACCCTGAGTTATACCACCCCCGCCTCCCCGCAGTGTGCCCTGTTTGCCTTGTCCACTATTCTGTGTGGTCCTTGAGTCCCAGGAAGCTATACTTTGTCTACCGTGTATGTCCCTAGCATCTAGCAAAATGACTGGCTCCCTGAATATTTTTCAAAATAACTGGTGACCATTGCCAGGTCCTCTTGACGCAGTGTCCCAGTGGTCCTGTCCATGTCTTCCCCACCTTCACCCCTCATGGGATCCCCATTTTGGTTTCCATATTTTTAATGAAACTCTTCATGTACCTTTTTTTATCCCTTGCTTCCTCGGTCTAATTAAATATTGATGCTCATTTGCATGAGTGGATTTCAAGTAATTTCCCAAGATGCGATGTTTCTTTATCTTAATCTTGATATTACTGCCATGTGTCATTTAAAACATCTTTGAAAAGTCTACACTGTTGCCACCATCAGGACCCCACTCGTCCACCCACTGTGCTATGCCACATCAGTATTGCTTTCAAGCCACTCGTATCAAAAAAGAAGCTTCAAGAGGAATTCAGAGGGTTGAAGTTAAAAGGTGTCTGTATATTTCTTTTGTTACACAGGAGTTGTAGATCTTACGGCTCTGACAGTGAAAGTGACCGAAGTTACTCTCATCACCGGAGCCCCAGTGAAAGCAGCACATATAGTTGAAAATGTCCCCTTTTTTGATACAAATTATATCTTATTTGTAAATATCTGGTAACTTAAAAATGTAAGAAACTTAATGGCAGTCTGTTGTTCTATTTCAACATTAGAAATAAGTTTCGAAAATAGGCACTTCTTAATTGTTATTGTCCATTTACATGTGCACAGAATTTAAAATACAGATATGTCTCCTAAAAATATTTTTATGCCACATTTTACAGTAGCCAACTTCGGGAATGAATTTCATTTTCTTGAATCAAGAAATCATGAAATTTAAGTATAATTTGCAATATTATTTTAGACAGATTACTTCTTTCCATCTCATGTATTCCTTAGAATACAGATTCTTTTTGCCCGTTTTTCAGGTCTTAGCGTATATGCTGCCAAGCCCAGAACTGTGAAGAACTGCTAAAGGTGGCCAAATATTTATATACCAGTTACACCGTCTTATGCATATGTGCTCTTAGAAACAAACCACCCAGAATCGATACTGATGGTAGCCAGGAGTCTTAAGGCAGTGGCTCTGGAGTTCTTAACTCATTCCTTCCTTCTTGGTGGTCTCAGAGGGTCAGGAAAGTGGTCATCATACAGCCCACCGTCTGTATTACTCCAGGCTGGCGGGTGAGGTTGGGAAGAATAAATCAGCCTTAACTATAAATACCTGCACTGTCTCCAAGGCCCTAATGTTTTATGTGCTTTTTAATAAATACTATCAGAAGTTTAGATTGTAAAAAACAATTCTGTTCTGGTTCATCTTTGGGTGCTCGGTACCTTTTGGTGCCTCTTCAAGTATACTTTACATTAGAATCTCACAGGAGAGAGAGAAGTGATTTTTTTTTTTTTTTTTTTTTAATTCGCTGGCACCAGGCATGGTTCCTTCTGGGCTACATTCACTTTAAGTATCTGGAGGGTTTCTCTCAAGCTCAGGTGTGGCTTGGGGCCCCCTGGAGCAGGCAGGATTGGCACAGAGGGTCGCGTGGCCCCTCGGGCTTGCTGCACAGAACTGGCACGCGTGCCTCCGGGAGAGCGGATTGAAGAGTAGAATTCAGGGTACCGCCAGACCTCACTGCCACATCCCGGGGACATTTTGGAGGGCTTTCCAGTCTTTCAGGTTAAGGGAGCTCTACCACAACAGCGGCTGAGCTGTTCTAAGCACCAGCACGTTTGTCTTCTTTCCGCTGTGACTCACTCTGACTCCGTGAAGCTCACATGACATGATAAGTCCAGGGGAAGAGGGGTGTACAGGACTGCACAAATCACACTTTTTCAGTTTCGGGTGGTTCCTCCAAAAATGGTTTGACCTGTAAAAACTGGTGTTTTTTGGTTTTGGGGTTTTTTTAATCTTTGAGTTTTTTCCCCCAAGTGTACTTAATCACCTTAGTGCCAGTTTAAGCCAGTTGTACAGAAGAAATTCATATTGGATGTTTGATGTGGGACTCTGCTCCACCCTCCCCAGGCCTTGCTTGGGGTACTTGGGAAGTGGGAAAGAGCCCTCAGTTGGAGGGATCTGACAACCTTGATGGGTGGAAGGGTGACCTTGGATATATTAAAACCATCACCCATAAAAGGTTCATAAACAGGGTTAAATGGTCAGCTGTTTGCCAGGTTGATAGACGAGAGTGCATTAGGAAAACAGGACCCAAGTCAAACAGACGTACTTCCTAGTGAGTACAGAACAATGCATGATTCATGTGAAGGGTTTTCAAGTTGCCTGTAACACTCGGTGAAAAAAACCCTACATTCAGAAAGACAGAAACTGCCAAATCTAATTAGGTTAAGAAAAGTTACCCTTGGACAATGTATTCGTTTTCTACTGCTATGTAACAAACTACCCCACACTTAGCAGCTTAAAACAACACCCATTTCTTAGCTCACAGTTCTGTAGCTTGTGAGTCTGGCACAGTATGGCTGGATTCTCTGCTCAGGGTCTCAACAAGGCTGAAATCAAGGGTCAGCAGGGCAGCATCCTTTTATGGAGGCTCTAGGGAGGCATCTACTTCCAAGTTCATTTGGTTCCTTGCTGGTTGTCAGCCGGAGGCTTCTCCCTCAGCTCCTGAAGGCTGCTCACATTCCTTCGTGCACATTCCCCTCCATCTTCAAACCCTCAGTGGCCTTCCCATCCCCCTGCCTTCCTCCTTCATTTTTGAGGTTCGTGTGATTAGATCAAGCCAACTGATCAAGTCTCCCTATTTTTAGGTCGGCTCTGCCGTAGAACATAGCATAATCACAGGAGTGACTGCACAGGCGCAGGCTCGGATCGGGGCACAAAGCGAGGGGTGCGGGTGGGGCAGGCTGTCCTAGAACCCTGCCTACCCCAGACAATAACTGCCCACTGCCGGCGCGGGGTGGGGGGGGACTGTCATCCCAAAAAAGGTGGGCCCTGGAAGCCTCGATTGTTTCCTCCATGGAAAAGAACAGCCCTCAGCCGCAGCATTCAATTGTGTTTACTGAATGAACTACAGAAATAGCTTTTCTGCCTAGAGGGGATTGTTCTGTATTTTAAGTTATTTTTTAATAAAATTTAATTATGTTGTGTATTGTGCTTCTTAATAGAAAATGTATTGGACTGTTTTTGTAACGTCTTGTTTACTGCAAATGAAACATGATATAGCTGGTATTGTTCAAACCTGTAGAAAATACTTTTGTACATATTGGCAATATCTAATTTGTATACACTTCATTTAAATGTTCCTAAAACTTGAAAGGGGGACCTTGTAGAAATTAAAATATATACTTAGTCTAAATCTGTGCCTATTTCATCTTTCTTTACTCATCCAGACTTCAGATCTTTCTGAAATGGAAAAAGGAACCATTGCGTCCCTTTGCTGACCCAGCCAGTAAAGAGACGTCATTTCGGCAGCTCATTTTCATCCTGTCGCTGAGTGTTAGTGGTGGGGCATGAGGTGGAGCTGGAGGGAACCTCAGGCAGAGATCAAGATGTTCACCTCCCCGGGGAAGCACTGATGGTGCTTGGTCTCTCTTCCCTTGCAAACTCCGGATTTCCTCCCGGCTTTGTCGTCACTCCGCGGAGGTGACCTGCATACAGATGTCTCTGCCGAGGAAGGAGTAGGTCCCGTCTATCTGGAAGCTGCTGCCTAGGGACAGCACACTTACCAGCTGTACCACCGACAGCCCCACGCTTACCTCCCTGACATTCACTGGGCACATATCACTCGCTCCTAGAGAGAACGTTCTTGGTGATATTTTTAGTGTCCACATGAGAATTTGCAGGGCAAGTACAATTAACTTTGTTCTCCTCAGAACTCAGAGGAATTTGTGTTTTCTTTGTGAATACAACATAACCTCTCTCAGACTTGCAGAGATTCAGTTTTCAGAATTAACAGTAGACCTTCAAGTCAGAATCCCTGACAATAGTCAGATCTAGATGCACTAAAATTTAAAGAAAATTACAGCCTTTTTGCTGTAGGGAACTCCCCAAGTGAGGTTCCTTTTTAGTGAGCTCCAGCATTTTGTTCACATTCTGATAATGATCGCTTTGATCAGCTGGGCAGTACTGGAGGGAAATGTGTCAAGGACTTTGGTCTTGGCTGTTCTGAATTAGCTGGGCATTAAATAAGAGCTAAGAGAATTCAAGAAAAATGCCCCTATCACAAGTGACCATGAAAGCTGGCTTGGCATCACTGTTGGGAAGGGAGAGGAAGCTGTAGTTGGCGTAGAGAGAAACTTGCCATGCTAGTGATGTAAATTAGCTGGCCAGGTGAGGCCTGGAAGCCATGCCTCACACGCTGGAAGAGCCTGGACTCGAGGGCTGGTTTCTAGAAAGAAGTCCCGGGAGGGACTTGTGATAGAATGAGTTGGGACGCAAGCTGAGAGGAATCCTGTTGGGCAGGAAGAAGTCCTTGGATGCTCTAGAGGCGGCAGGCAGCCTCAGGCGTCGGAGATATCAGGGGTAGGAGTGGGGTATCCTGGAAGAACAGGGCACCTGCTTGTCTTGGGACAGACCCTGGGCAGCTCTAGTCAGTGGCCGATGTGTGTGCGAGGCAGGGGCAGTGCACTGCCACGACACAAAGGGGCAGGAGGCTGTAGTGGTCTGCTTAAAGGTTTCGGTAGAGGGTAGAGGCAGTGCTCCCTTGCCCCTTTCCCCTCTCCTCCCTGTGAATCACCAGGCCACTTTGGGGCTGTGCCAAGCTTGAGGCCAAGTACTTCTGCCTCTTGGAGACCCTGGGTCCACCATTCACAGCTCCACGGGCTAGCCTGAGGACTGTTTGGTCTCAACCAGCCTAGAGCCCTGAGAAAATCGGTAAAAAGGGAGGGACCCGGGGCTGCAACAGAGACACCTGCATTCTGCATCTGGAGGCCTGACCCTGAGCCTCTGACTGCTCATGTGTACTAAGAGGACTTGGACTGCCCGTTGCTTGGCTCACAAACCCTGAAAGAGGGTGTGAACACCTGGCGCAACTGGACATGGAAATCGGTGGTGCCCATCCCTTCCCAGGCTTGCCTGGAGAGGAGTTGGCCTCCCAGAGGGCCTACAGGGGGCGGAGGCATGGTTACCCAGGTCCTCCTGCGACCAGCATCTCTACCGGCAGGCCAGGTTCCCAGAGAAAGGCTGAGAAGGACCCCACTAATCTCAATGCCTCTGGCCTAATTTGATTTTATTTTGAATTAAGGACATCTATGAGCAATTCTATGGTACAGTCCTTAAGGGATTTGAGCCAGAGCCATACTGCCTGGGTTCAAGTTCTACTCTGTCAGTTCTTAGTTTGGGTAACTAGATAAATTGTTTGACCTTTATAATTCAGCTCCTCATCTGAAAATCTGGGATACCAAGGCCTCCCTCTCAGAACCAAGCACACATCAAAGCTCCAGGGACGCTGGCCCCTGGGATTGCCTCCAGGAGGAGGGTAGGAGCCCATAGGTTTCATGTGGAGGGCCAGGCTCAAACACAAATGAAAAGCCCAGGGTCCCTTGAACCAAAAGGGTGGGAGAGGACCCTGGAAGCTTCTGGTGAGGCCTCGAATGCCAAGGCTGTGACGTTTACACAGCAGGAGGGAACTGGGCAACCTGCTGGTTTGAATTAGGCCCCCACCCCCCAGCAGCAGTAGCCTATTAGTGTGGTGCTCAGTGGTGGTGGGACACAGGAGCAACACCCCCACTCCACACCCAGAGCTCTATGCTCCCCAACCCTGCAGGGCCCTGGGTCAGCCCCTAGCGGGTAGCTTGAACCCTACCATGCCACTGACTTCAGGCTGTGGTGTTCCCTTCTGTGCTCTGGCACTGTCCGCTCTGCTGTCCTCCTGTCTCAGCTACAGCAGCTAGACCAGGCTCCTGCCCGCCTAGGGAGGCCGAGGCCTGCACTCGCGCTCGGGCTCGCGCGCGCACACCCCCCCTGGGCTGTTTGTTCTTTCCAGGCTCAGTAGGGGAGTCCGGTGTCCCAAGCAACCCTGGGAACTGCCCTAGCACAGCTTGGGTCTGTTTCTCCTCCTTGACATGGGAGAGAAATGGGGCTGATGCTTCAGGAAGTTGTGAGAATACCTATGAGCTGGCCTCTCAAGGCAGGGCCATGGCTTTGCTGAGCTTGCCAGCACCTAGCCCCACGTATCGGAAGGATCATCCAGCTCTGCACCTGTCTCCACAAACTCCTGGATTACCCATGGGGCCTGGGATTCTGGCCTGGGATCCTCCTCCCTAATAACCCAGTCCTACCCTACCCCCTCCAGAAAGCCTGCCTTGACCGACCTTGAAGTGAAGCGCCCAGGGCAGGGCCCTCTCCAAAGCCAAGCAATTTTGAGCAATTTTGCCACCCCTATCCAGCCCCTCACTCCCACCTGACTAGAACCTTGACTCTACCACATCAAATCGCCTCTAGTTCCCTGCAGATGCTCTCCTGTCTCCCCTCTCCTGGCCCTTGCAGGTGCCATTCTCTGCCTGGAGTACCCCTCTTCTCCCTCTGCTCTAGTTAATGTTAACTCAACTTTCAGGCCTCAGCTGTGAGCTTTGAGCCCACCATACTGGGCTCTTCAAACAGCCCCGTCCTGCCTGGTGTGATGTGACCCAAGCGCCAGTAGCCTCTCCCAGAGCGGCCTCTGTCCCCGGGCTCCCCTAGTAGATGGGCTAGAGACCAGAGAAGCAAGTGGGGGAACAGCTGTGCTCTTCAGGGAGACAGACCCCTATTCCCTCTTTTCTCAGCCGTCAACCTCCAGCCCCTCCTTGGCTTGACTGCTGCAGCCAAGGCCAATCCCAAGGAGGCCAGTAGCCCTACCTTGGTTACTTAACGCTGGCCACACCCCCTTGCCAAGCCTTGGCTGGAAGTGGGCCCAGGAGTGCCCCGTGCAGTCCTCTCTGCCAGGCTCCTCCTAACCCCCGGGGTGGGAGGGGGGCACCCTCTCCCAACCTCTCCTTTCCCCAGCTCCTGACACTGGTGCCTGGCTGCTTGATTTGTCCTGCTCCGGGCCTCACTGTGTCCAACTAATGGGTACGCAAGCCTTCCCTCGCCACCTCCCAGCTCACTGCAAGGATCCACTGAGTCAGATGAGGTGGGTTGGAACGGAGGACGAGGCAGAAAGCAGCACTAAGGTGACCCGCTGGTCAGGCATGCTGGCCACTCTGGCCTGGCCTCAGCCTGAGGCCTCCAGGAGCTGCACCGGCTGTCTGTGTGCATTCACCACGGCCACGGAGGTGCAGGATGGCAGGATGTCTGCAGTGGCCGCCTCTGGGGGCATGTCCCCGGCTGCGCCCCCACTCTCCTCCCATGCCCTTATCCACCAGGGGCTCTCCCCACGCTCCATCTAGCTCTGCGTATTCCTTCCCTTCGTCTTGGCACTCTTTTGGTCACCGCCATCTGTGCCCCTGAGATGTCTTCTCCCTGGCCCTGGGGGTCAGGAGGCCCTTGCCGTCTTACAGGACAGACCACCAGACTTTCTGATGGCGCCTCCCTGGGATCTTCACCTCTGCTCCATTTCCTCCCCTGGCACCCAGAACCAAGTCACTCTGAGCAGGCCCCAGAGCCCCTGCCCTCTCATGAGGAAGGTGGCATCCCCAGGGGCGGGGGCTGCTGTGTAAGCACAAGGGCCCACGTGTGGGGAGGGGTGTGAGGACCCCGGGGATGAGGGCACTATCAGAGGGAGCGAGGATGGGGCAGAGGCCAGCTTGGGGTGGGGGTGGGGGCGCAGGAGGGCATCGGAATGCTGACATGGGCCCCATGAGAGGCCCACGGAGGCCCGCTCTCCACGCTGCTGCCCGCTCAGCCCTTGCAGCCTCCTGGCAGCCTGGCTAGCCCCCTGCCCCCACCGGTGCCCAGGCCAGAGCATCATTCCGCAGGCCCAGCGGCCTCTCCCCAGCAGTGGCCCGGTCAGCCGGCTGAGGGGCACGGTGCAGCCCGGGCCTCTGGCCCCCCACTCCTCTCATCTTGCCTGTTCCAGGGCCTAGGCCGGTCACCTTAAAGGCCTGGTCGCTGCAGCTGTGGTCTGGGTTCTGGTACCTCCTGCCCTGGGGCGGGCGTGAGCAGTCAGAGGAGGCCACCAGGTAGGTGTGGGTCACCCAGCACGGAGCAATGAGCCCTGGGCTGTCCTGGGGTAGGCCGGCGCGGGCTAGCCGGAGATCCCAGAGTCACCCTCAGGTCAGAGCAGCCCAGGCCAGAGGGTGAGGGGTGCTGAGCGAGGCTAGGGTCCGGGGGTTCGGTGTCTCAAGGGAGCGGGTGGAAGGCTTTCTGCAGCTGGTTGGGGAGTGGGCGCGCCCAGCCTCCCTATTTCAGGGCCGCCTCCTACTCCGACCCCGCCTCTGTGGCGCAGCTGGAAGGCACCGAGATTAGACTCTGGGACGAACTTCCCGGCAGAACGGGGGCTCGGCGCGGGACAGTGAGGCCGGGGCCCATCCGCTGGAATGGGAGCGGTGGGGCCTGGCTGGGGGCCCCGGCGGCCCGAGGCAGAGCAGGCTGCACTGGGACCGCGCACACCACGCGTGTCCGCGCCCCCCGCCGGCACGCAGGGCGGCCTGGCCCTTTAAGCGTCCAGACGGCGGCCCCAGCTGACGCGCGGGCTCCAATCGGCGCCCCGCGCCCCCCGCCCGCCGCGCCCGAGGCTCTGGGGCCGCAGCTGCTCGGCGGCTGGACTCGCCGCGGCCCTGCGCCTCCGCCCGCCCGGCCGCGCCCCCGGGGGCCATGGTCGTGGGGCCCTGCGCGGGGGCGGCCCCCAGCGCGGCGCTTCATGGAGCGGCCCCGGCCCGGCCGCCGGGGGCAGCGCGATCCCGCGGGGCCCTGTGAGCCCCCAGCGCCACGGCACCATGGTACGCAAAGGCCCTGCCTGTCCCCCCGCTTATCCGCCCACCTGCCCGCTCTGCCTCCCGAGCGCACGGCCCGCCGGCTCCGGGTGGAGGAGTTGGAGGGATCTTCTCCCTCGCCGGGTCTCCCCGGCCCCTTCTCCCGGGTCTCCGCGGGCCCGGAATGCGGCGCTGTGGCGCGGCCCTCGGCGGGGAGGGGGTTAAATTCCTGGGGTGGGGGCCCGGGCGCGAGAGGCTGAGGTCTTGCTAGGCACCGGCGGAGGGGGGCGCTTCTCTGAGCCTGGGACGGCGCCGCCCTCGGACTGGGTGATGGGGGGGAGGGGGGAGGTCGGATTCCCGCCTGGGCCTTGGGCCACGTGGGCGCTGGAGCCGCCCTGCCTGGGGATTTGGGGCTACTGGGCCAAGCGGGGTGTGTTGGGGCGGGACGTCCGCAGCTCCGGTCCAAACTACTGTGTGACCTTGGGCCAGTCCTCTGCCCTCTCTGGGCCTGTGTCCTGGGAAAGGAGTGGGGCCGTGAGTGCAGAAGAGGCTGGTACAGACACCCCCTCTCCAAAAGGAGGCGTCTGGAAGTCATCAACCTGTGTCCCCTTGCTCAGTGTGGGCCCCACCCCCGGCTGCCCGGCAGTGAGGATTGGCGTGGGCGTTTGTGTGTGTGTGTGTTGGGGGGGGTGCTGCAGATGCCTGCCCAGGTTTCATCCCAGGGCCTCCAGGGAGGCACTGGGACAGGCTAGGGAGCTGGTGGCTTCATGGCACGGAGACCGGGTATCCCTCGGATGCAGAAGGCTCTGGCCCTGGGGCGCAGTCTCAGCAGGTGTCCCTGGCACCTGGCCTCCCCCGCCACCTCACTCCTGCCCCCAATGTGGCTTGCAGGTAGAGTTTGAGGGCTTGAAACCCCCTGGCAACGGGAGTGCCTGACCACTCCCCTGGCCTTGCATCTTAGATAGACCGACCTGGCCTGCACTTGAGGGTGGGGTGTATGGCTGCAGCTGGCCTAGCCGATAGGGAGGGATGGGTGCAGTTTCAGGGAACTGGCACATCTGGCTGGGGAGGGGGGCCGGCGCAGCTGGTGGGCCTTGCATGGGAGGTGCCAGGCAGAGGGGTGGCTGAGCCCTGCTGAGGTAGTTGACGGGTTATGAACTCTGGCAGTATGGGTGTGCCCTGTCAAGGAAGTCCAGTCAGGGTGCCTGGCAGAGACTCTTGGGCCCCTCCAGGGTGCAGGGTGGCCCTGGCTTGGGGCTTACTGCCGTGGGAACGGAGTCTTTGGGGCACCAGTATCCTCCAGGCTAACCCCTCCTTCCCTGCTGAGGCCAGAGGGCCCTGGGACCAGATCTGCACACAGGAAGGTCAGGCACTGCCCTTTTTTTCCAATGCCAGGTAGGCACTGGAGGGCACTCTGTGAGGGGAGAGCAGAGTGGACTGGGGGCCCTGTGGCCTGGCTTTAACGAGCCCTTAGCCAAGCCACTTCTGCCACTGTCTGGCCCCTGGTGGCCCTTAGGGGCCCTGTCACAACCGAAGTTGCATCCTGCCCCCTCACTGACCTGCAGGTGGCAGTAGCTCAGGGGAGGAGGCTGCAGGTGGCAGGGGGTAACGGTGGGGTTCTGGGCAAGCACAGCAGGTCCCCTGAGTCAGAGGTTCCCCAGATGCCTCTTCCTGCTTTGTAAGGCATTGAGAGCCAAGAAATCCATCTGTGGGGAGTGTCCAGTCCAGTCCAGCAGGGAAGGGGTGGCCTTAGCAGAGCTGGGAGTCCAGGGGCTCTGCTCCTGCCCACTGTGCGACCCTCCCGTTCCGAGCCTCGGTTTCCCCATCTGTGCAATAGAGTTTGGTCCCAGAAGATGAATCAGAATGAGTCAGAGGAGGGAGATGGGAGGGACTTGGCACCATATCCCTGTTAGATTGGCCAGCCCTGGACAGGCCAGCAGCCCTGAGACGGAGGGGGCAGATGGTTGGCTTCTTGGCGGAGAGGAAGGAGGTGTGGGAGAACTCAAGGAAGATGGCGTCCATGGTCAAGAGTCTGGCCAGCCTGGGATCAGAGAGAGCATCGGGTGGGCGCTGCCCCCCGAGTAGCTGGGTATGCGGAGGGGGGCGGGGTGCAGGGTGCGCAGGGGCGGATCTGGAAGCAGATTGCCCCTGTGGCTCCTCGAGGTTCAACTGAGAAGTTGAACATAGATACCACCCCCCACCCCGCCCCAGCCCAGTCTGGGCCCCCTACTGCTGCCCCAGCAGTGGAACGACTAGCATGGAGGGTTGGGGTGGGCTGTGGATGGACGGAACTGGGGTTTCATCCCGGGCTTGCAGGGAGGTGCTTGGGGGAGAAGAGCTGATGGCTTTGTGGCAGTGGGGCAAGGTACCCCTCAAATATAGGAGGCTCTGACCCAGCTCGACAGGGCCTGAGGACGGCCAGAAACTGGAACCTGCGGGGTTGGTCCAGCCAGGCAGCTGATCGATAGATATTAACTGAACATCTGTGCCCCGGACCCAGGCAAGGGAGTGGGCAGCCTGCCTCTCGGTGCCATCCGCCTTTTGGGAAAGCTGCTGCGGAGGAGCCGGGAATGATTAAGCGAGCCCTTATTCTGGACAATTCACAGGTGCTGGATGTGGCTCAAGGGCCTGATAATCTGACCCATCAGACTTTGAGGGCCTCTCTCGGGCTCCAAAGGCCCCAGGTAGTGTGGCTTCCAAGATGGGGCGCAGAGCCTCTGGGCCTGGACCACACGTGACCTGGGGTCTGGGGGCCTAGAGGGAAGAGGGTCTAGGGCGGTCCTTGGGGGCCTCCTGTGTCTAAGCGTGGTGGACAGAAGACACAGTTCTGTCCTTCTACCCCCACAGAACCCCTGTGTGAGGGGGGAGCTGCCGGCAGCCAGGCCCGAGGCCATGGGCAGCCGCCTGGCCCAGTAGGAACGGGCTGGCTAGATCCCACCAGCCTCCTCCAGCAGGGCAGGAGGACCAAGGCCTGGGCCTGGATTTCTTCCCAAGAATTTCTACCCCTGCAAAGCCTCAGGCCCAGGCCCTGAGGCCCACTGCTGGTGAGGCGAGGGCTTTCCTAGGTACTACGCCCAGGGGTGCGGTAGCAGCCCGAAGCCGAGCAGTGAGCTAACGAGCCTGACTTTCATTCTTAAGGGGCCTGGGGTTGGGCAGGCGTGGTTTTATTTGTACGTGTGAGTGAGTGTGAGGGAGAGAATCCGTGGAGCTCAGGAAATGCTGAAGGAATGCTCGCGTCTGGGGTGGCCACCTCGCCCTAGTTCGCCTGGACCGGCCCAGTGTTGGCACAGAAAGCCCCTCATCCCAGGAAGCCCCTAAGGCCCACGCACTCCTGGATGCCGGTGACCCTAGTCCCTGTTCCTTCCTCTTTCCTTCTCTTCCCCTTCCCTGCCCAGGACGACTTCCTGTCTCAAAGGGAAGCGCTGGAGGCCCAGGAAAGTTAACGGACTCACCCAGGAGCAGCCGGTGGTGACTGGAGTCTGAGCTCTGAGGGGCGGCCGGCTCGGGCCCGAGTCCTGGTTCCCCTGCGTCCTGGCTCGAGCTTCGGCTCCTTTCCCAGAACGCGGAGCCAGCAGGGACGGGCAGGCTGCCTCCCGCACGGTGGGGCGCTGCCCGGGTTGCTGGCCTTGACCTGACCTGTGCCCTCCGCCCCGCAGTTGCTGGTTGAGAAGACAACAGACTCACCGGCGGCCGAGTTCTCGCTGGTGGAGGACGTGGCCCTGCACTTCGCCTGCTTGATGGGCCGCCTGAACGAGCAGCGCCTCTTCCAGCCTGACCTCTGCGACGTGGACCTGGTGCTGGTGCCCCAGCGCAGCGTCTTCCCGGCACACAAGGGCGTGCTGGCCGCCTACAGCCAGTTCTTCCACTCGCTCTTCACGCAGAACAAGCAGCTGCAGCGCGTGGAGCTGTCCCTAGAGGCGCTGGCCCCCGGTGGCCTGCAGCAGATCCTCAACTTCATCTACACCTCCAAGCTGCTGGTCAACGCGGCCAACGTCCACGAGGTGCTCAGTGCCGCCTCGTTGCTGCAGATGGCCGACATCGCCGCGTCCTGCCAGGAGCTGCTGGACGCCCGCTCCCTAGGCCCCCCCGGCCCCAGCGCTGTGGCCCTGGCCCAGCCGGCCGCCGGCTGCACCCCGGCCGCACCACCCTACTACTGCGACATCAAGCAGGAGGCGGACGCCCCGGGCCTGCCGAAGATCTATGCCCGCGAGGGCCCCGACCCCTACTCTGTGCGTGTTGAGGACGGGGCAGGGACCGCGGGGGGCACGGCACCTGCCGCCATCGGGCCAGCTCAGCCCTTCTTCAAGGAGGAGAAGGAGGGTGGCGTGCAAGAGGCCGGCGGGCCCCCCGGCAGCCTCTGCAAGCTGGAGGGTGGGGAGGGGCTGGAGGAAGAGCTGGGGGGTTCTGGCACCTACAGCCGCCGGGAGCAGTCCCAGATCATCGTGGAGGTGAACCTCAACAACCAGACTCTGCACGTGTCCACGGGGCCCGAGGGCAAGCCGGGCACCACTACGGGCCCGGCCACCGTGGTGCTGGGCCGGGAGGACGGGCTGCAGAGACACTCGGAGGACGAGGACGAGGAAGAGGAGGAGGAGGAGGAAGAGGAGGAGGAGGAGGAGGAGGAGGAAGAACAGGGTGGTGGCAGCGGAGGGGAGGAGGAGGAGGAGGGTGGCAGTCAGGGAGAGGAGGAAGACGAGGAGGAGGAAGGGCACAGCGAGCAGGAGGAGGAAGAGGAGGAGGAAGAGGAAGGGCACAGTGAGCAGGATCAAGAGAGCTCAGAGGAGGAGGAAGAGGAGGAAGAGGGAGGGGAGGCGGGGAGCCGGCAGGGGCCGGCGGGGCGGCGGGGCAGCAGGGCAGAGCCCCCTCCCCACAGTCGCATGGCCACGCGGTCTCGAGAGAACGCCCGACGCCGAGGCCCCCCTGAGCCCGAGGAGGCCAGGCCGCGGGGCGGGAAGAGGCCCAAGCCTGCTCCGGGGGGAGCCTCTGCAGCGGCCCGAGGGCCACAGGCCACTGACGGGCTGGGGGCCAAGGTGAAGCTGGAAGAGAAGCAGCACCACCCGTGCCAGAAGTGCCCTCGCGTCTTCAACAACCGCTGGTACCTGGAGAAGCACATGAACGTGACCCACAGCCGCATGCAGATCTGCGACCAGTGCGGCAAGCGCTTCCTGCTGGAGAGCGAGCTGCTACTTCACCGGCAGACAGACTGCGAGCGCAACATCCAGGTGGGCCTCGGGGGCTCCTCGGGCGGGGCGGGGCGGGGGGCTCCCCAGAATGGCCACCCAGGCCGCGCCCCCAGTGTCCTGCTGCCTGCATCACCCAGACAGACTTACCGCCGGGCCCTGGGGCCAACGCGGGCCCAGGGTGGTCCGAGTTCAGGGGATAACATCCAGGAGGGCTTCCTGGAGGAGGCAGGTAGAGCTGGGCTTTGGCACATGGAGACACGTGCAGGTCGGACAGGAACAAACAGTACTCTTGGCCAGAGGGGCGAAGGGGAGGATGAGAGGAGGGAGTTGTCTGAGTACTTGAGCCAGCTCTGCGGGCTGAGCCTGTATTTTAGTCAATCCTAGGGCTGCTGGAAGACCAACAGGGCCACCACGTATAGTTTCACAGATCGTGCACTGCACAGAAGCACAGACAAGGTGGGGCAGGGTTTGCCCAGAGGGGGCGCCATTGGCACTTGCACAAAGGCTGAATAGAGCAAGGGGTGGCCTGGAGGAGGAAGCCCCTGCTCTCAGCTCTCTGGAGATGTCAGCTGGCCTGGGCCTGGGAAGAGGGATTGGATGAGAAATTTGGGGAGAGCAGGGGCTGCCGGGGCCAAGCAGGAGAGCTGGGCTGGCTGCCAGGCCTCGGCTCGGCCTGAGTGTGTGCCGACCTAGCCTCTCAGGGTGCGGGCAACACGGGGCCCGCCAGGCTGCTTTTTATCTTTGCTGGCCCGGAGGGGGTTGTGGGGGCAGCAGGTAGGCGGGTGCTAATTGCCTGAGCTAATTGCTAATTGCAGTGCCCTGTGGAGCAAGTGTTACCTGGGGGATTGCCTGGTCTCCTGCCCCACCCTCTTGCACCTGTTCCCACTTGCCTGCCCACTGGGCTGCCCTTTGCCTCTCCAACCTGCACACACCTGAACCTTCCTTCTGAAGGGGAAAGATGCATGTACCTCTTCTGACCTGGGCACCCGGACCCGTTTTCTGCCCAAGCCCTGACCTACTCCAGCCCTCCGGAAGTGTCTCCTGCAGGGATGGGCAGGACAAGAGGAGGAGGGGAGCATGGCCCCCGGGGTTCCCACCACCCTCCATTTCCTCATGGGACCCAGGACCTGCTGCAGTCCCCCTCCACCCCTTCCCCAGCCAGCACTTTGGCACCTCTCTCCTTGGGGATCTCCCGGGTGTCAGGGCATGGGTCCCAGCAGTGGGGAGGCCGGACGTATGATCTGAGAAGGGCTTCTTCGTGCACTGTGTGTAGCTTCCTCACATGCCATGGCCCTTCCGCCGATTATGTGTCTTCCCTCTGTAGACAGGTGCCTTGTTGAAATGAGCACGGAGTCGGGGCTTCCTGGTATAGATGGCCCCTGACCCAAGTTGAGTTCAAGGATGAGGGAGGGCCCCAGGCTGCAGCCCTGGGTAGGTGGGCATGTTTTTAGGGAGTTACCATCCCCAAGTCCCAGAGCGGCAGATTTGGCGGGTCGCTGGACATCGAGGGCTCTCCCTCCAGCACAGTCCAGGTAGAGAAACTGAGGTCCAGTGAGGGGCACATTGTCCCAGGGCACATGGTCCTGACTCAGGACCCAAGGCCTAAAGTCCTCTCACCCTGCAGTGTGTGACGTGTGGCAAAGCTTTTAAGAAGCTCTGGTCCCTCCACGAGCACAACAAGATCGTGCATGGCTATGCAGAGAAGAAGTTCTCATGTGAGATCTGCGAGAAGAAGTTCTACACCATGGCCCACGTGCGCAAGCACATGGTTGGTGAGTCTGGGCTGGGAGGGGATGGGGCCTGAGGTCAGAGCTGGGCCAGCTCCTGGCTGTGCTGGGCAGGACTTCCCATCCCAGGGCAGTGTGAAGGCGTGAGAAGGCCCCTCTCAACTGGGAATCCTGGACAGGCTGGTTGCAGTGGCAGCTGTGATCTGGATAGGCTCAGAGGTCGGGACTACCATGTACGGTTGGGCAGGTGGGACATTGCACAAGGGCTCCTGGACAAGATGGCAGGTGGGGACCAGAATCCAGCTGGCACACTGCTAACCAGACTGTGCATCTCAGCATGGGGTTATGGCCACCAGGGAAAGAAGTACCCTTTTCTAAATTACACAAAATGCCATATGGACTGACACAGGCCCTGTCTCAGTTTGAGGACAGCTGTGCCTCTAATTTTTTCTCACCTTCTGGCCCTTACAGGCCTTCAGGCTCCTCTGAATGAGGAGGCCCCCATGAATGTCTGCTGGGCTCCTCTGCCTTGGGCATGGCTGTCCCTCCCCTCTAGGAGGGCACGGCTGCGAATCTGGTGTTCAGGTGGCCCTCCTTTCTTGCCTGCTTGGGGTCTGGAGCTCAAGGGCGATGTGGCTCCCTGCCAGGCCTTACCCCTTTCTCCGGCCACCTGGGAGCTGGGACCCTGGGGTGGAGGTCCAGGCCAGGAGCATGCTGGGTAGCCCAGGACTGGTGGTCTTCCTGGGCTCGGCTTCCCCAGCTCTGAGCTGCAAGGGGGACTCTGGCTCCCCTTGCTTCCTCACAGATCTTCCTTGAAGAGTTTGTTAGTCCTCACCTGTCCGTGGTTTTGGGGGAAGCACAGCCAACTCCCTCTGGACTGCCCAGTGTCATCCCCTGTAAAGCCCACCTTTGAGTCTCAGTACCACCCCTGGCCTCTCTCTGTAGAAGGACACGCTGAGGCGCACTGAGGCAGTGCAGAGAGCCAGTGGTGGGGCCAGGGTTTGAGCCAAAGCCAGTCCCGCTTGGGGTCCTTGCCCGGAAGTCAGCCCCAGGTCCTAGATGGAGCCTCTGAGGCAGACCGTGAAGCGGGGGGGGGGCTCCCAGGAGGCCCAGTGTGGGATGTGGTCAGGCAGGGATCCCCCAGGAGCAGCCACAGGGGTCCCCCTGAGACATAATGGCCTGCCCCGCAGCCCACACCAAGGACATGCCCTTCACTTGCGAGACCTGTGGGAAGTCCTTCAAACGAAGCATGTCTCTCAAAGTGCACTCGCTGCAGCACTCTGGGGAGAAGCCCTTCCGATGTGAGGTGAGTCCCTTTGTCCACCTGCCCCAGGGGCCACCCTGGACGAGCGGGGGTGGGGGAGCAGCAGCTGCTTCAGGGGGCAGTGGAGTCCAGGATTCACAAAGAGGGGTGGCCCCCTGGTGTCTGTGGCCCCTGCCTCCCGCATCCTAAGTCGGCCGCCCACCTGCCTGCCCCCCACCCCCACCCTCCACCACCCCACCCTAAACCAGCCCCCACACATTCAGGGTGGGTGTTTCTTTGGGCTGCAGCCAGGCAGGGGGCAGGCCTTCTGGAGAGGTGGAGGGGGGCACATCTCAGGCAGAGCGGGGATAGAGCTGCAGGCCGCGATGGGCGGGGTGCGGGGGTGGGCGGGCGTTCCAACAAATAGGAAGGATGGGGGGCCCTCGGCTTGACGCAGGAGGACTCCTTCCATTCTGGGGCCTTTCCCACTTCCTGCCTTCCATCCCCGCCTGGGCCGAGCCCGCCCTGGCCGCTTCTCTGTCAGTGTGCCGCCTGCCCCAGGAGCCCCTCCCCGTGTGTGTCCTCCCCGTCCCTGCGGTCCCAGGCAGGTGCTCCCCACCCTGCCCCCTGGCCTCACCCTCCACCCCGCCCTCAGAACTGCAATGAGCGCTTCCAGTACAAGTACCAGCTGCGGTCGCACATGAGCATCCACATCGGCCACAAGCAGTTCATGTGCCAGTGGTGCGGCAAGGACTTCAACATGAAGCAGTACTTCGATGAGCACATGAAGACCCACACAGGTACGGCTGCCGGGGCGGGGGGGCGTGGTGCCGGCTGGGGACCCCTCCTCGGCCCGGCCCCGGAGGCCTGCTGTGATGGCCCCAGCCATGCCCCTTCTCCGCTCCGGGCCTCAGTTCAGCCTTCTCTGGGGCTCAGCGCCATCCTCCGCGCCTCTGCCCGGGTTAGGGAGGCCCCGTGGGTGCCGGGGGCGCGGACTTCTCGGTGACGCCCCCCTGCCCATGCCAACGCCCAGGGGAGAAGCCGTACATCTGTGAGATCTGCGGCAAGAGCTTCACCAGCCGACCCAACATGAAGCGGCACCGGCGCACACACACGGGCGAGAAGCCGTATCCCTGCGACGTCTGCGGCCAGCGCTTCCGCTTCTCCAACATGCTCAAGGCCCACAAGGAGAAATGCTTCCGCGTCAGTCACCCCCTGGCCAGCGACGGCCCCGCCTCGGGCCCAGGCCTGTCCCCGGCCCAGCCCCCGGCTCACGCGCTGCCCCTGCTCCCGGGGCTGCCCCAGACCCTGCCGCCCCCCCCGCACCTGCCGCCCCCCCCCCCCACTCTTCTCTACCACTGCCACTTCCGGCGGGAGGATGAGCGCCAACAACTGACTGCCTCTGCGGGGACCCCCGGCCCCCACCCCGGCCCTCCCCTCCTGCCTGGGGGAGGGCAGCGACACCGGCCTGGCACCGCCGCCCCCCCTCCAGACGGGGCCGGACCTGTGCTGCTTGAGGCCCCGACCCTGGGGGTGTGCGGGCTGGTGGCCCCCGTGCGGGTGGAGGACACCTCACTCCCAAGTGCCCCCCTTCTCAGTGACTCCTTGAAGCCTTTGCTTTTTTTTTTGTTTTTGGAAGTGAAGGAAAAAGAAAAGAGAGGAAATTATTTGCAGCACCCCCTCCAGGTGAGGGGGTTGCTGGAGGCGGCAGGTACAGCAGGGAGGGAGGGGCTGGGGAGCAGGTGTGACCGGTCACTCTGCTGGGGCCTGAGCCGGAGGGGGCTGGCCAGGCAAGCCTGGGTCAGCTTCAGTGGCCCATCTCTGCCTCCCCTGTGCCTCCTAACTTGCCCCTTCATCCTGGAGGCTTTGGGGAAAAGTTGGGGTGTCAGCCTCCCTGGAAGGAGTTGTGGATCCGTCTGAGGGCTGTGGACACCGAGGCAGGGGCTTGACTGTGGATGCCCATGAGCGTGTTGTGGGGGGGAGTGGCGAAGTGTGAAGGCTGCAGACCCAGCTTTGCACTGTGTGCAGTGGGGGAGGCAGGGGCTGGACCCCAGGCATTTGCCCTCCTAGCCACCACCCTGCCGGCAGGCACAGGGATCCCTGAGCTGTACCAGGCTGCATCGAGGTCCCTGAGTCCAGGAGAAGACATCCCCAGAAGCCTCTGAGCCTCGGGGCTGGGGGCTAGGCCCTGGGTGGGCAGACGGGCTGGCTCCCGCAGCACCAGATCCCAAGGGCTGCAAAGAGTCCCTGCAGCTGGGTGAACCCCAAGGGCAGGCCCTGAGAAGGAGGCAATGTTTTAAGGTTTCAAGGTGCTAGCAGGGGAGCAGGGGGCAGGGCGGCTGTTCACAGAGCACCCAGGTCCTCACCAGCTGCCCTGGTCGTCTCTCCCACACCAGCGGAGATGTGTGTGTGTCTGTCTCCATCCCTGCTCTGAAGGCAGAGGCCTCATCCTCTTCCTGGGCCTGGCCACAACCCACCCCAGGCCAGCGTCCAGCATCCCTGTCCTTCCTAGGCCTCTGCACCATGGGTGGGGCGCCTGTAGCATTGTTGGTGAGAGGAGCCCACAGGGTGGGGGGTGGGGGCTCTGGGGGAGCCCCCGCCTGTGCCCAATGCTTGCCGCCATGAGGCCGGCACTAGTAGGGACATCCTTTTTTTGTTGTCATTTAACGTCTTTATTCCTGCCTTGAAAATGGGGAGGAAGGTTCCATAAGCTACGTGTTTCCTAGTTAAGCTCTTTCCTTTTGTGTTTATACAGTTTTGTTTGTTATACTCTGCACCTTAAACCCCCACAACTACCCCCACACCACCACCTTCCCAAGCATGGTTGGAGTGGGAAGAGGCCTAAGCCCAAGGGGGACAGCGGCAGGGGATGGGGTGGGGGGTGGGGGGACTGGGCCCCATCAGCCCAAGGGCTGAGGGGGTCGGAACCCCTCTGACCTCCTTGTGAGGCCCATGGCGCTGGGTGGGGGCTGGGGACATTTTAATCATCAATAAACGAAGCACTTTATTCTGTACAGATGTGGGCAGGTCCAAGAAGCCCGAGTGATTTGAGGATTTATAATCCAAGCTACACAGCCCTGATAATTCTCTGGGCGCAGAGGGGGGCAGTGCCCTGGCCTAGTTGCATTTGGGGCTGCAGCAGGAGTAATGCGGAGTCAGAGCCTCCAGAACGGCCCTGCTGTCCTTTGGAGAGAGAAGGTGGGCCCCTCACTGAGAGAGGAAAGCTTCCTGTCTGGCTCCCAGTTCTGCAGCTCCCTTACCCCAAGGCTGGGGATTCTAGACTCCTGCTTTACTATACTCCCTCTCCTGTACCCCTTGATCTCTGGGCTTCCATGACGTCCTCAGGGTCCCCCCCCTCTCTGTTTCCTCCTCTTCCTTGCTATTTCTAACCTCTGGTCCCAGTGCCTGGCAGCTCTTCAGAGCTGGCTCACATTTTCCCCCCAAAAAGTTGATCTCCCCCGATGTGCTGTAGGTCGGGACACCCATGGGTTCCCCAACCCCTGTCACTGGCACCAGGGTCTCCCATGGGGACTGGTGGCCTTGTCATCAGCTAGCCCCCCTGCAGCCTTAGTGAGTGAGCCTGGGGGACCCTGGCCAGTCCAGGTCCCTGTAAGGTATGGGGGGGGGGAGCTGGTGTCAAAACCCTGTCCCAGGACTTGGGTTCCATGTTCTAATACACCTCTCCTCGGAGGGCAGGGGTCCAGACGGCAGGCTGGGCTCTGGTCACGATGGTCATTGTAGCTGTGGGTGGGCACAGCCAAACCCTCTCCTGGGAGGCACCTGTCCCAGTGGGGACAGGAGCCCTGGTCCCTGGTGCTAAATGCTCTCTTCCCCTTGGGCCAGTGTGGGTAAAAGCTCCTTTCCAGCCAGATCACAAGGGTCTGAAGCAATAATGGAACCTCAGCAGTGCCAGTATGGGTAGGGGTTCTTGTTTTACCAGCTTTTACATTTCCTTTTTATTTTTAAAACAAATGAACAAGCACCTAGATATTGGAGTAAGGGGACTGGGGCATTATACCCACTTCCCAGGGCTGGTGGCAGGGAAGGGGGTCGGGATCACCACCTCCCACTGGAGTTGTGCTGGGTGGGGGGAACCCCTCAGTCCAGATGGACTTTTCAGCCCATTTGGCCAGAACTCGGGTCTGAAACCTGGGCCTGCCCCCTCCCCAGCTTCTCCTGGGCTCCCTGGTCTTGGGCCAGCTGGGGGTGAGCCGAGAGATAAGCTGGGGCTAGAGCCTCAGCCTCCGACCTTGGCATGTGCGGCCACAGCTCCCCTTACTGGGGGGTCCACAGTAGCGGAATGGCTGTGCCAGGTGTGTGGACCCTTGATGTCTGGGCCCCAAGTGCATGGGGGGATAGCAGGAGGGTGAGGACGAGCGTGAAGGGGAATAAAGTCAGTACAACTGTCCCTTGGCCCGGCCTCTTCTTTACATGTTGCCTGCCCTGACCACTGGCTGGAAAGACCCAGACCAGAACAAGGGAGCCCAGCAGCTCAGCGGTAGGCCGCATGGGTCACTGTGCCCTCGAGCAGCTGCAGACCACATCTCTCTCCCGTAAGGGGGCCTGGGCTTTAGGACCACCCAGAGTCAGGAGCTGAGGCAAGAGCGGAGACATGTCCCCCAAACCAGTGTTTGGTCCTGAGCTGGATGTGGAAGGGGATCGGAAGAGGAGAGGTCCTGGGGCTGCTGATGCAGAGATCCCCAAAGGCGGCGCCCGCAGGAGGCCAGGGCCCCTGCAGGACAGTTTTCCACGAGTGCCCAGGCCTGTGGCCACCGGACCCCCGGGACAGCCGGGGCCGCTCCCACTCATGTGCTCAGCACTTGGCAGGCAAGGGCCGTCTGAAGGAGCCAGCTATCAGAGATGCTGACGTGGGCCCTGGGAAGACAAACGCTCAGATGGAAGGCAGCTAGTGGCCTCCAAGGAGGGAGCAAACGGCTCTCCGTGGGGACCTCTGAGAATTAATTCGTTGTGCAGGTGATGTATGGAGCCCTGGCTCTGTGCCACGTGGGACTCTCGGCCCCAGGACTACGTGGGGAACAAGGCCCCTGTGTTTGTGGCCCTTGGCCCAAGATACATGAGGAGGGGTCTGACCAGGAGGGGCTGGGTGGATTCCTGAGCCAGAGAGGAGGTATGGGTGCCCCCAGCTCTGTGAGGCCACGCTGACAAGCAGAGGCTGGAGACGGGTGTGGGGGCGCTGGTCCCAGGACTTGGGATTCCTGTTCTCCGAGGGCAGGGGTCCAAACGGCAGGTCCCAGAATTTGGGAGCCTGCACCTTTCCACACAGCCCTACTTCTTTGACTGAAAGGAACAGGCTCGCTCAGTTTCAGTCACCCTCAAAATGGCGCCCGCCAATGAGCCTGAGGGCCTGGCTGCTTCCGTGTTTCTGCTCTCCACCCGTCTTGCCACCCATCTGCTGGCATGACGCCTCTCTGCACAGCCTCTTCCTTCAGCCCCCCCGCCATCCCCCCGCCTCATTCTAGTAACGTTTCCAAATGCTTACTCGAGTGCTGCTTAGGCACGAGTCACGCTGGGCTGGGAGGAAGAGGCCGCGGGGTGGTGGTGGACACCATGGCTGGCATCTCTGGAGCACTCATCCTCCCCCAGTTTTGCTCTCTGGGACCAAACAGCTCGTTAACACCTCATGTCCTGGAGCATAGTTCCTATACTTACACTCTAGTTGCAAGGGAGGCTGGGAAGGCGAGCATGTCTTCTACTTCCGGCAGGTAGCACGATCAGAAAAAGGCGGTCCAAAGGCACTGGGTGGCCCAAAGGGTCCCTCTCCCACCCTGAGTCCTGGTTCTGGGGCCCAGGCCTCCTGAGAGAAACCGTGGCACATGCCTGCATCCTGGGCACAGGCCTGGAGTGTATACTGCATCCTATAGGAAGCTCCCAGCCTGGCAAGGCGAAGTCTCTGGGCTGGTTCCATAACGGATTCTTCCCCAGACAATGCCCCCTTCCATAGCATCAGCGGCTCCTGGGTGAAGGGTAAGGCCAGTACATGCTGTGAGCACCAGCCCAATGCCACCCAGCATTGTGTTGTGTAGAATCCCTGGGAAAATATCAATTTTTTACAATTAAAATTTTTCTTAGACATAGTTGAAAAAGTCAAATATTTCTGGAAGGCCTTTTTTTTTTTTTTAAACAAAAGTTGCAGTGGCCTGTACCTCCTCTTTTCCCACTTAGAATAGGCAACCAGTTCCAATTCAATTGGTATTTTTGGCATTGACTTTCAGGCCTATGAAATCTCACCTCCCCTCCTACTTCCTGATAGATTCAGTGTTAGGTATCATTTATTGATTTCTATCTTCAACACTCCCAACACACACACACACACACACACACACACACACACACACACACACACACGGCTTCTATTCCCCTTTCTCCAAGCGTAGTTATATTATTATTTGGGGTTAGATTAACATTCAGTGCATATATTATTATGACTATGTAAACACTGATCTCAATGAAGTCATGTCACAGAATATGATTCCATTTCCTTTCCTGTACAACTTTTTACTTTTGTCTCTTTAAAATGT